TGGCCACCGTGCTGCAGCTCAGTTTCAGGGTCTTGGCAATCTTCTTATAGCCAAGGCCATCTTTATGTAGAGCAACAATAATTTTTTTCAGATCCTCAGAGAGTTCTTTGCCATGAGGTGCCATGTTGAACTTCCAGTGACCAGTATGAGGGAGTGTGAGAGCGATGACACCAAATTTAACACACTTGCTCCCCATTCACACCTGAGACCTTGTAACACTAACGAGTCACATGACACCGGGGAGGGAAAATGGCTAATTGGGCCTAATTTTGACATTTTCACTTAGGGGTGTACTCACTTTTGTTGCCAGCGGTTTAGACATTAATGGCTGTGTGTTGAGTTATTTTGAGAGGACAGCAAATTTACACTGTTATACAAGCTGTACACTCACTACTTTACATTGTAGCAAAGTGTAATTTCTTCAGTGTTGTCACATGAAAAGATATACTCAAATATTTACAAAAATGTGAGGGGTGTACTCACTTTTGTGAGATACTGTAATTCACTGTATCACAACTCCAGTGGGTCAGAAGGTTACATACACTAAGTTGACTGTGCCGTTAAACAGCTTGGAAAATTCCAGAAAATGATGTCATGGCATTAGAAGCTTCTGATAGGCTAATTGACATAATTTGAGTCAATTGGAGGTGTACCTGTGGATGTATTTCAAGGCCTACCTTCAAATTCAGTGCCTCTTTGCTTAACATCATGGGAAAATGAAAAGAAATCAGCCAAGACCTCAGGAAAAAAATTGTAGACCTCCACAAGTCTGGTTCATCCTTGGGAGCAATTTCCAAACACCTGAAGGTACCATGTTCATCTGTACAAAGAATAGTACGCAAGTATAAACACCATAGGACCACGCAGCCGTCATACCACTCAGGAAGGAGACGCGTTCTGTCTCCTAGAGATTAACGTACTTTGGTGCGAAAAGTGCAAATCAATCCCAGAACAACAGCAAATGACCTTGTGAAGATACTTTTGTACCTATATCCACAGTAAAACAAGTCCTATATCGACATAACCTGAAAGGCCGCTCAGCAAGGAAGAAGCCACTGCTCCAAAACTGCCATAAAAAAGCCAGACCACGGTTTGCAACTGCACATGGGGACAAAGATCATACTTTTTGGAGAAATGTCCTCTGGTCTGATTAAACAAAAATAGAACTGTTTGGCCGTTATTTTCAGAGGAAAAAGGAGAAGGCTTGAAAGCCGAAGAACACCATCCCAACCGTGAAGCACGGGGGTGGCAGCATCATACTGTGGGGGTGCTTTGCTGCAGGAGGGACTGGTGCACTTCACAAAATAGATGGCATCATGAGGAAGGGAAATTATGTGGATATATTGAAGCAACATCTCAAGACATCAGTCAGGAAGTTAAAGCTTGGTCGCAAATTGGTCTTCCAAATGGACAATGACCCCAAGCATACTTCCAAAGTTGTGGCAAAATGGCTTAAGGAAAACAAAGTCAAGGTATTGGAGTGGCCATCACAAAGCCCTGACCTCAATCCTATAGAAAATGTATAGGCAGAACTGAAAGAGTGTGTGCGAGCAAGGAGGCCTACAAACCTGACTCAGTTACACCAACTCTGTCAGGAGGAATGGGCCAAAATTCACCCAACTTATTGTGGGAAGCTTGTGGAAGGCTACCCGAAACGTTTCACCCAAGTTAAACAATTTAAAGGCAATGCTACCAAATACTAATTGAGTGTATGTAAACTTCTGACCCACTGGGAATGTGATGAAAGAAATAAAAGCTTAAATAAATCATTCTCCCTACTATTATTCTGACATTTCACATTCTTAAAATAAAGTGGTGATCCTAACTGACCTAAGACAGGGAATTTGTACTAAGATTAAATGTCAGGAATTGTGAAAAACTGAGTTTAAATGTATTTGGCTAAGGTGTATGTAAACTTCCAACTTCAACTGTATGTGTTAATTGTAGGGGTGCCCATGCGGCTGGGGATCAGAAATGTCCCGTGCGAGAGAGGCAAGTTGAGGTTTCCAGAGTTAGAGTAGTGCAGAAATTGTCATATGCTGAGGCAGTGAAGAAAGTAGAGGAAGATGGGTCAAGGTGGAGGGATCCTGAGAGGAGTGGTGTGAGTAGTAGATCTGTACCAGTACAGAGGGATAGGCCAACAAGTGATATATGTTTCGGTAAGATTGGATTTTAGCATTTATAGCAATGGTTATCAACTGTACTGCAGGGATGGAACGTAAGTCACAGAAAATGGAGGTTGTGGTGGCAGCTGCAGAGAGGTATTTGGGTGTGTGAGACTTGACATCAGAAGAGTTACAGGGTGTGTTAAGTGGTGGTGTCCCATCCTTTCAGGTTGTTGGCCTGAGGTAGGACTAAGTAGATTTAAATAGTGGAGTAGGGTGGTGTTATTTTATTATTATTATTATTATATATATATGAAAAAATAAACAAATACCCTACCATCTAACACTACACTCACAATATATATATATATATATATTGTGAGTGTAGTGTTAGATGGTAGGGTATTTGTTTATTTTTTCAAGCAAAGTATAAGAGAGTTGTACTCCAGTCTAGTAGGTGGCAGTAATGCAACATTTATTGGATGCCAACAGCGGTTAAACCTCATCGAAGAAGAAGAATCTGCCCCCAGCGGTTGGGATGAGAAGAATCTTTGGGTCTTTGGAGATGGTTAATAAAACAAATCTAAATTACCTCCTGAAAATAACATTGGATTGTTTCTGGGAGTGGTCATTGGTCACCTACACATTTGTAAAATATATAAATCTGGTTAAACAATCCTCCAATATAAACATATGCCCACACTAGCTAGCACCAGGTAGCCTGTCCAACTCTTGCATATCACCTATAATACAGTAGATGGCAATAATGCGCAGAAGCGCGTGAGGCACATCATAGTTAGCAGGCTAGAAGAAGACAAATTGCAAGCCTGTGGAATCTGCATCGTTTTAGCTATGAAAAATAGAAAGACAACTTGACAATTGTTCTTGAGATATCCTTTTAAACATTAATAATGATGCTCAGGCTATTGGTAGATCGTATTTGGCCGGATTAACTAGCATCGCAATATCTGGTGCTAAATTACCTCTTTGTCTTTGTTCCAAAAATTTCAACTGAGAATGCTTGTTGTTTAGTACAGTAGTAGCTAGCTACGCCTGGTGACCTGTCACAGCTGAGCTTGCTAGCAACATAGCTAGGCTTGCTTAAATTAATTGACAACAAAGCTTGCTAGCCGACGGGTTTGCCTTGTTATAGATATATCAGGTAAATTACATTTCTGTATATCGTAAATTATCTAGCTATTACATTTATTAAATACCCGATCGCACGCTAAGGGTAGCTAGCTGTGTTGTGTATGTAGCTAGCTAAGGAGCTGTGGCAACAACAAAAACAATGATAGCTGAACAAAGTGCCTGAGGTTGTTAGCTAGCTACCATAGGATTGTTGATGTCAGAGAACAGGATTTACTTGTGTTCATAATTTATGCTTTCGACATACACTATATATACAAAAGTATGTGGACACCCCTTCAAATTAGTGGATTATGCTATTTCAGCCACACTCGTTGCTGGCAAGGGTATAAAATCGAGAACAAAGCCATGCAATCTCAATAGACAAACATTGGCAGTAGAATGGCCTTACTGAAGAGCTCAGTGACTTTCAACGTGGCACCATCATAGGATGCCACCTTTCCAACAAGTCAGTTAGTCAAATTCCTGCCCTGCTAGAGCTGCCCCGGTCAACTGTAAGTGATGTTATTGTGAAGTGGAAACGTCTAGGAGCAACAATAGCTCAGCCACAATAGCTCAGTACACAAGCTCACAGAACGGGACCGCCGAGTGCTGAAGTGCGTACAGAGTAAAAATCGTCTGTCCTCGTTTGCAACACTCACTACCGAGTTCCAAACTGCCTCTGGAAGCAACTGTTCATCAGGACCTTCATGAAATGGGTTTCCATGGCCGAGCAGCTGCACAGAAGCCTAAGATCACCATGCGCAATGCCAAGTGTCGGCCGCCGCCATTGGACTCTGGAGTAGTGAAAACACGTTCTCTGGAGTGATGAATCACGCTTCACCATCTGGCAGTCCGATGGACGAATCTGGGTTTGGCGAATGCCAGGAGAATGCTACCTGCCACAATGTATAGTACCAACTGTAAAGTTTGATGGAGGAGGAATAATAGTCTGGGGCTGTTTTTCATGGTTCGGGCTAAAGCCCTTAGTTCCAGTGAAGGGAAATCTTAGGGAAATCTTAACGCTACAGCATACAATTTACATTCTAGACGATTCTGTGCTTCCAACTTTGTGGCAACAGTTTGGGGAAGGCCCGTTCCTGTTTCAGCATAACAATGCCCCTGTGCACAAAGCAAGGTCCATACATAAATGGTTTGTCGAGATCAGTGTGGAAGAACTTGACTGGCCTGCACAGAGCCCTGACCTCAACCCCATCGAACACCTTTGGGATTAATTGTAACGCCAACTGCGAGCCAGGCCTAATCGCCCAACATCAGTGCCCGACCTCATTAATGCTCTTGAGGCTGGATTGGAAGCAAGTCCCTGCAGCACTGTTCCAACATCTAGTGGAAAGCCTTCCCAGAATAGTGGAGGCTGTTACTTTTACATTTTACATTTTAGTCATTTAGCAGACGCTCTTATCCAGAGTGACTTACAGTTAGTAAGTGCATACATTTTCATACATACATTTTACTGTTATAGCAGTAAAAAGGGGGACCAACTCCATATTAATGCCCATGATTTTTGAATGAGATGTTTGACAAACAGGTGTCCACATACCTTTGGTCATGTAGTGTATATGAACAACTGTGAATGTTCTCCAGGTCTGAACCTAGATGATAACTTTTTCAGAAATAGTTACTCATCAACAACAAAGTGACCTAATCTAGTTTACCCCTGAGTAGTGAAACTCATATGAATTACAATGCATCCATGCATTTGAGGTTGCTGATGGTCTTGTTTTGTGTGTAGTGTGCAGGGGAGAGATGGGCACCCTGGGCAGCCGGATGCAGGCCTCCTCCCAGGATCCAGAGGAAGCAGTTGAGACTGCATGTGCCAGTGGCAAGCATGGATGTGAGTGCAGAAAGAGGAAACGGACTGCACACTGCGACTGTGACAGTGAGCCTGATGAGGAAGATGCCTTACTGGACACACCACGGAGGTGAGAAGAGCCACACACATCACACTGGAAACACACACATACACACAACTTCACGAACACAAGTGACACACACACACACACAGAGCAGGCCAGAGTAAGAGAAAAACACACTAAAGGTCTACACAAACAGAGCCCCGTTTGCGGCGAGCTCTACGTAGTTCCACGTACATTTGTGCGGCTGAATTTTTGGAACGCAACGCAAATGGACCTCCGTCAGCTCTGTTTGCGTAGACTGTGTAGAGAGCCCTTTACAGCACAGGTGAGGTATTCACACATCTCTCATGTCTTTCAAATGGCCAGCCTGTTTCTAACCTAGGCCTGCCCTCTGCTGGTTTTATTTTGGAATTGTAACAGGAAGAAGCTAAAGAGCACTTCTAAGTACATCTATCAGACCTTGTTCCTGAACGGGGAGAACAGTGACATCCGCATCTGTGCCTTGGGGCAGGAGTGGAACCTGCACAAAGTCTACCTCTGCCAGGTTAGTGCACTGTTCTGTGTACACTATACACTGTAGTCTCTACAAAGCCAATGCCTGTGACTCATTCCACTCCCTCTCTCTCTCCTCCCTGTGTTTTAATTATGTAGTCGGGGTATTTCTCCAGCATGTTCAGTGGATCCTGGAAGGAGTCCAACATGATGGTCATACCGTTAGAGATCCCAGACCAGAACATCGACACAGAGGGTGAGGACTTAAGTCACTGTCAGGCAGTGTTGTAGTCGAGTCACTAAACCTTGAGTCCAAGTCGACTCCGCTGTGCTCGAGTCGAGTCTAGAAGTCCCTATGGCTGGAGTCCAAGTATGAGTCTTCAATGGTCGAGTCACGAGTTAAAACCCGATACTAGTATTGTTTTCAATTTCGTAAAGCAGTTTGTGTTTCTTAACCAGGCAAAGCTAAATAGTTGGCTGGTGGTTACGGGGAAGCAAGACAGTCGCTTGCGCAATGTGTCGCTTAGCCTATGATTGGAGCGGAGCCTGCCTGCTTGTCTGCGCACAATCATCGCTTGCTCCCCTGCAGCTCACCAGCTGATGTAGGCTGCATGTGCCGGGTGTGGCTCATCCTTCCCACTGCTAGAGAATAGAACCTTTGCAGATCTGCGCACCCAGTGCTGCTAATATTCTGTTTATCATAGTAACCTATTCAGTCGAAGTGCAAATACAAGTCACAAGAAGGCGAATCCCATTCACCAATGGTCGAGTCCAGGTTTAGTCACAAGTCGTGAAAATCGGGACCCAAGTACTACAATACTGCTGTCAGGAACAAAATACTACAAATCGCTTTGTTTATGTCACTGAACTCCTTTTTTGCAGTTACTATACTCATTTATCTTTGTGGTGTGTGTGTGTCTTTAGCTCTGCAGGTAGTGTTTGGATCTCTGTACCGGGATGATGTTCTGATCAAGCCCAGCAGGGTGGTCAGTATCCTAGCAGCAGCTTGTATGCTCCAACTGGTCAGTAGATTATCATTATCACACTACAGTATATTTTACATAGAATGTAACAGTATACAATGTAGTGATAATGTTGAGATGATAGTGATATGTGTGAGTTGAAAGTTAAACTTGCTGGAATGAATGAGAATAGATGATCAAAGGCGACAATAAGCCATGCCTTGTGTCTTTGCAGGATGGTCTGATCCAGCAGTGTGGTGAGACCATGAAGGAGAACGTCAGTGTCAAGACCGTGTGTGGCTACTACTCCTCTGCCAGCATCTACGGCCTGGACTCTGTTATGAAGAAGTAAGCCCCATCATTACACTCCTGTTGAATAATATTACACATTTAATCATTTTCTTCTCACTGTACATGCTTATGCTTGTGTGTCTCCTGCAGGTGTCTGGAATGGCTCCTCAATAACCTCATGACTCATCAGAATGTTGACCTGATGAAGGAGCTGGGGTGCGTATCTTCAATGTTTTCATATTTTTCCCTATACACTATATATACAAAAGTATGTGGACACCCTTCAAATTAGTGGATTTGGCTATTTCAGCCACACCTGTTGCTGACAGGTGTATAAAATCGAGCACACAGCCATGCAATCTCCATAGACAAACATTGGCATTAGAATGGCCTTACTGATGAAGAGCTCAGTGGCTTTCAACGTGGCACCGTCATAGGATGCCACCTTTCCAACAAGTCAGTTGCTCAAATTTCAGCCTTGGTGGCACAAAATAATCAAAGGTCTGACTGCACGGACATGCTTGGGAAAAATGGTTACAACGGGGGACCAGAGTGTTTGTGTCTCCATCACCTAGGACTTGACATAGGTTCATCAAATCAAAAATTTCTGTCAGTTTTTGCTCAATCTTGCATGCTGTCTCAAACAGCTGTAACTGTATATGCATTTGTAAATCAGGTCCTTTCTTGAGTTGGGCTCTGGGAAGTATAAATCGTGGAGCATCTGAGCTTATGGTTGATTGTGGAGGAAAGGGGTTGAGTGTGTGTGTATCCCACATCTGTTGCAAGGGGGTAAGGATGTTAGGGAGAATATAGGATGAACCACAATAATTGTTTGCTAAAATAATAATTGCTTGACAAAAATGTAATGTAATACAATGGCAATCCGGGTTATAGGTAACAATCCTTCGCATGAACTGCCAACATTATTACGGATATTAATTGATAATGATGGAAATTAAGATATGCAAGATATTTGAATAGATATATATTTTTAATAGCTATAAATATATATATAAATAAATAAATATACAGTGAGGGAAAAAAGTATTTGATCCCCTGCTGATTTTGTACGTTTGCCCACTGACAAAGAAATTATCAGTCTATAATTTTAATGGTAGGTTTATTTGAACAGTGAGAGACAGAATAACAACAAAAAAATCCAGAAAAACGCATGTCAAAAATGTTATAAATTGATTTGCATTTTAATGAGGGAAATAAGTATTTGACCCCCTCTCAATCAGAAAGATTTCTGGCTCCCAGGTGTCTTTTATACAGGTAACGAGCTGAGATTAGGAGCACACTCTTAAAGGGAGTGCTCCTAATCCCAGCTTGTTACCTGTATAAAAGACACCTGTCCACAGAAGCAATCAATCAATCAGATTCCAAACTCTCCACCATGGCCAAGACCAAAGAGCTCTCCAAGGATGTCAGGGACAAGATTGTAGACCTACACAAGGCTGGAATGGGCTACAAGACCATCGCCAAGCAGCCTGGTGAGGTGACAATAGTTGGTGCGATTATTCGCAAATGGAAGAAACACAAAATAACTGTCAGTCTCCCTCGGCCTGGGGCTCCATGCAAGATCTCACCTCGTGGAGTTGCAATGGTGAGGAATCAGCCCAGAACTACACGGGAGGATCTTGTCAATGATCTCAAGGCAGCTGGGACCATAGTCACCAAGAAAACAATTGGTAACACACTACGCCGTGAAGGACTGAAATCCTGCAGCGCCCGCAAGGTCCCCCTGCTCAAGAAAGCACATATACAGGCCCCTCTGAAGTTTGCCAATGAACATCTGAATGATTCAGAGGATAACTGGGTGAAAGTGTTGTGGTCTGATGAGACCAAAATCGAGCTCTTTGGCATCAACTGAACTCGCCGTGTTTGGAGGAGGAGGAATGCTGCCTATGACCCCAAGAACACCATCACCACCATCAAACATGGAGGTGGAAACATTATGCTTTGGGGGTGTTTTTCTGCTAAGGGGACAGGACAACTTCACCACATCAAAGGGACGATGGACGGGGCCATGTACCGTCAAATCTTGGGTGAGAACCTCCTTCCCTCAGCCAGGGCATTGAAAATGGGTCGTGGATGGGTATTCCAGCATGACAATGACCCAAAACACACGGCCAAGGCAACAAAGGAGTGGCTAAAGAAGAAGCACATTAAGGTCCTGGAGTGGCCTAGCCAGTCTCCAGACCTTAATCCCATAGAAAATATGTGGAGGGAGCTGAAGGTTCGAGTTGCCAAACGTCAGCCTCGAAACCTTAATGACTTGGAGAAGATCTGCAAAGAGGAGTAGGACAAAATCCCTCCTGAGATGTGTGCAAACCTGGTGGCCAACTACAAGAAACGTCTGACCTCTGTGATTGCCAACAAGGATTTTGCCACCAAGTACAAAGTCATGTTTTGCAGAGGGGTCAAATACTTATTTCCCTCATTAAAATGCAAATCAATTTATAACATTTTTGAAATGCGTTTTTCTGAATTGTTTTGTTGTTATTCTGTCTCTCACTGTTCAAATAAACCTACCATTAAAATTATAGACTGATCATGTCTTTGTCAGTGGGCAAACATACAAAATCAGCAGGGAATCAAATACTTTTTTCCCTCACTGTACAGTGGGGAGAACAAGTATTTGATACACTGCCGATTTTGCAGGTTTTCCTACTTACAAAGCATGTAGAGGTTTGTAATTTTTATCATAGGTACACTTCAACTGTGAGAGATGGAATCTAAAACAAAAATCCAGAAAATCACATTGTATGATTTTGAAGTAATTAATTTGCATTTTATTGCATGACATAAGTATTTGATCACCTACCAACCAGTAAGAATTCCAGCTCTCACAGACCTATTAGTTTTTCTTTAAGAAGCCCTCCTGTTCTCCACTCATTACCTGTATTAACTGCACCTGTTTGAACGCGTTACCTGTATAAAAGACACCTGTCCACACACTCAAGCAAACAGACTCCAACCTCTCCACAATGGACAAGACCAGAGCGCTGTGTAAGGACATCACAAGGCTGGGATGGGCTACAGGACAATAAGCAAGCAGCTTGGTGAGAAGGCAACAACTGTTGGCGCAATTATTAGAAAATGGAAGAAGTTCAAGATGACGGTCAATCACCCTCGGTCTGGGGCTCCATGCAAGATCTCACCTCGTGGGGCATCAATGATCATGAGGAAGGTGAGGGATCAGCCCAGAACTACACGGCAGGACCTGGTCAATGACCTGAAGAGAGCTGGGACCACAGTCTCAAAGAAAACCATTAGTAACACACTACGCCGTCATGGATTAAAATCCTGCAGCGCACGCAAGGTCCCCCTGCTCAAGCCAGCGCATGTCCAGGCCCGTCTGAAGTTTGCCAATGACCATCTGGATGATCCAGAGGAGGAATGGGAGAAGGTCATGTGGTCTGATGAGACAAAAATAGAGCTTTTTGGTCTAAACTCCACTCGCCGTGTTTGGAGGAAGAAGAAGGATGAGTACAACCCCAAGAACGTGTATATATATATATATGTGTGTATTATATATATATATATATATGTGTGTGTGTATTATATATATATATATATATATATATATATATATATATATATATATATATATATATATAATACACACACACATACTACAGTTCAAAAGAGCCGTCCGTTCAAAATGTGCCTTTTAAAATGATAAACTTGGATTAGCAAACACAACGTGCCATTGGAACACAGGACTGATGGTTGCTGATAATGGGCCTCTGTACGCCTATGTAGATATTCCATTACAAATCAGCAGTTTCCAGCTACAATAGCCATTTACAACATTAACAATGTCTACACTGCATTTCTGAATTTGATGTTATTTTAATGGACAAAAAAATAGCTTTTCTTTCGAAATCAAGGACATTTCTAAGTGATCCCAAACTTTTGAACGGGTGTGTGTGTGTCAAGCAATGTAATTGTCTGCATCACTTCCAATCCCCCATGTTTTTTTTCTCTCGCAAAAAATAAATGTCCTCTCACTGTCAACTGTGTTTATTTTCAGCAAACATAACATGTGTAAATATTTGTATGAACATAACAAGATTCAACAACTGCGACATAAACTGAACAAGTTCCACAGACATGTGACTATCAGAAATTGAGTAATGTGTCCCTGAACAAAGGGGGGTCAAAATCAAAAGTAACAGTCAGTATCTGGTGTGGCACCAGCTGCATTAAGTACTGCAGTGCATCTCCTCCTCATGGACTGCACCATATTTGCCAGTTCTTGCTGTGAGATGTTACCCCACTCTTCCATCAAGGCACCTGCAAGTTCCCAGACATTTCTGGTGGGAATGGCCCTAGCCCTCACCCTCTGATCCAACAGGTCCCAGACGTGCTCAATGGGATTGAGATCCGGGCTCTTCGCTGGCACCATCGAGAGCATCCTGACTGGTTGCATCACCGCCTGGTATGGCAACTGCTTGGCCTCCGACCGCAAGGCACTACAGAGGGTAGTGCGTACGGCCCAGTACAGCACTGGGGCCAAGCTTCCTGACATCCAGGACCTCTATACCAGGCGGTGTCAGAGGAAGGCCCTCAAGATTGTCGAGGACTCCAGCCAACCTAGTCGTGGACTGTTCTCTCTGCTACCGCACGGCAAGCGGTACCGGAGCGCCACGTCTAGGTCCGGGGGGCTTCTCAACAGCTTCTACCCCCAAGCCATAAGACTCCTGAACAGCTAATCATGGCTACCCGGACTATTTGCACTGCCCCCCCACCCCCACCCCATCTTTTTACGCTGCTGCTACTCTGTTAATCATTTATGCATAGTCACTTTAACTCTACCCACATGTACATATTACCTCAACTACCTCAACTAACCGGTGCCCCCGCACATTGACTCTGCACCGGTACCCCCCTGTATATAGCCTCCCTACTGTTATTTTATTTTACTTCTGCTCTTTTTTTCTCAACGCTTTTTTGTTGTTTTATTTTACTTTTTTATTAAAAAATAAATGCATTGTTGGTTAAGGGCTGTAAGTAAGCATTTCACGGTAATGTCTACACCTGTTGTATTCGGCGCATGTGTAAATAAGATTTGATTTGATTTGATTTGGCCATGGCAGAACACTGACATTCCTGTCTTGCAGAAAATCACGCACAGAACGAGCAGTATGGCTGGTGGCATTGTCATGCTGGAGGGTCATGTCAGGATGAGCCTGAAGGAAGGGTACCACATGAGGGAGGAGGATGTCTTCCCTGTAACGCGCAGCTTTGAGATTGCCTGCAATGACAACAAGCTCAGTCCGATGATGCTGTGACACACCGCCCCAGACCATGACGGACCCTCCACCTCCAAATCGATCCCGCTCCAGAGTACAGGCCTCGGTGTAACGCTCATTCCTTCGACGATGAACACGAATCCGACCATCACCCCTGGTGAGACAAAACCGCGACTCGTCAGTGAAAAACACTTTTTGCCAGTCCTGTCTGGTCCAGCGATGGTGGGTTTGTGCCCATAGGCGATGTTGTTGCCGGTGATGTCTGGTGAGGACCTGCCTAACAACAGGCCTACAGGCCCTCAGTCCAGCCTCTCTCAGCCTATTGCGGACAGTCTGAGCACTGATAGAGGGATTGTGCATTCCTGGTGTAACTCGGGCAGTTGTTGTTGCCATCCTGTACCTGTCCCGCAGATGTGATGTTCGGCTGTACCGATCCTGTGCAGGTGTTGTTACACGTGGTCTGCCACTGCGGGGACGATCAGCTGTCCTGGCCACATCTGCAGTCCTCATGCCTCCTTGCAGCAAGCTTAAGGCACGTTCACGCAGATGAGCAGGGATCCTGGGTATCTTTCTTTTGGTGTTTTTCAGAGTCAGTAGAAAGGCCTCTTTAGTGTCCTAAGTTTTCATAACTGTGACCTTAAATGACTACCGTCTGTAAGCTGTTAGTGTCTTAACGACCGTTCCACAGGTGCATGTTCATTAATTGTTTATGGTTCATTGAACAAGCATGGGAAACGGTGTTTAAACCCTTTACAATGAAGATCTGTGAAGTTATTTGGATTTTTACGAATTGTCTTTGAAAGACGGTCCTGAAAAAGGGACGTTTCTTTTTTTGCTGAGTGTGTGTAATATATATATACTTATTTTCCACCATAATTTGCAAATAAATTCATAAAAAATACTACAATGTGATTTTCTGGAGAAAAAAATTCTCAATTTGTCTGTCATAGTTGACGTGTACCTATGATGAAAATTACAGGCCTCATCTTTTTAAGTGGGAGAACTTGCACAATTGGTGGCTGACTAAATACTTTTTTTCCCCACTGTATGTGTGTGTGTGTGTGTGTGTATATATACTGTATATATGCGAGAAAAAAACATGGGGGATTGGAAGTGATGCAGACATTTACATTGATGGAGGTTAAAATCTATCTGCAATATTAAAGCTGATCTACCCCCAATAAAAACATAAAAAATTATTGTGAAATTGTGAAGTGGAAATGTCTAGGAGCAACAACGGCTCAGCCCCGAAATGGTAGGCCACACAAGTTCACAGAACGGGACCGCTGAAGCGCGTAAAAATCATCTGTCCTCGGTGCAACACTCACTACCGATTTCCAATCTGCCTCTGGAAGCAACGTCAGCACAAGAACTGTTGTACATACTGGTAATAGAGGTTTACGTGTTGTGTGGTCAGTGAGCAGTGTTTGTGTCTGTGCTGTATCTGCAGAGTGGACGTGATGGAACCGCTGATCCAGTCATCTGACCTGTTCGTCATGCAGGTGGAGATGGACGTCTACACCGCCCTGAAAAAGGTACTACTGCAGCCATTTGGGCTGTCTCTACTGTAAGGAAGACTTATCTCCCCATTCCCCATCCCTTCGTTTTCATTCATACCCTCTCTTTGTAACCCTCCCTCTCCTCAGTGGATGTTCCTGCAGCTCAATCCATCCTGGGACGGTCCCATCAAGCAACTGCTGGCTGACGCTGACACCTGGCTTTGCAAACGCAGAACTGGTACGTTCTGTTCTACAGTGCATGTCACAGCTAGCTACACGCCTATCTGAACAAAGGGTTGTAGAATATACACAGAGATGCTGGTTGACCAGACTTTTCTAATGGCCCTTATGTGCATGCTGTTGCAGAGTTGGGAGAGGAGGAGCCCTTCTTAAAAACAGAGGACGGCACTCCCTTTACTCCTGTCTTCAGACATGTGCGCCTACAATACATCATCAACGACCTGGCGTCTGCACGCATCCTGGAGAGAGACAACATTCTCCCACCTGGTAAGGTTGATGATTGGATAGTGGTTTATGTTTCACATTCACGTATGACTGTTTTAGTAGTCATTTTGATCTACTCTGTACAACTCCTCATACCACAGATTGGCTGACCTCCGTGTACAAGAGCCAGTGGTTTGCCATGCTACGGACGGAACACGACAATGACAATGGGTGAGAACTGGAGCTCCAAAGCTGCAACATCGCACCATGACAACATTAATGCCAATCTGCGACATTCAGTGACTGAAAATATATTTCTGCTTGTATAGAGCTCGGCAGCTTGTAGTCCTAAAACTCGGAAATGAGTTACCTCTGGTTCGATCAGCCATTCCTATGGCGAAAATGAATGGGGAAAGAATAGGGTTTTGGGATAAACGCCAAAAATAAGGTCCGAGGTTAACACAGGCTTAGGAGATCGTTCTATCAGACAGTTAACATGAACTTTATGAATTATGAAGCCTTTATGTGCTTAGTGGGGGGGGGGGGGGGTTTATTACATAAATGCTTCGAAATTCACAAAAAGTGACGTTAGCTGACAAAGATTATCTCCGAACAAAAGGTATAAGATCTCCTAAGTCTGTGTTTACCACAGACCTTATTTTTGGCGTTTATCAAAAAACGGCATTCATTTCTACATAGGCTTTGTCCAATGAACCATGGCGGAGTTGGTGCTGACAAAAATACGCCATTATTATTTCTCTCTATGCTAAGACATTTGTGTTTGTAGTCCACAGGATGCCAACAAGGAGGAGTTTGAGTCAAGCAGTATGAGGTGTGGCAGGAAACTGACCAAAGATGGAGATGTGAGTCAGACCATTAGTCTCTGTGTAATAAGGAAATCATTTATTCTGAATCATCATGCAATAAGAACTTAAAATCAAATAAAAGAGAATGTTTTAACTTTTTATTCTTGCTTAGTACTGTTGGAGGTGGACGGGCTTCAACTTTGGCTTTGACCTGCTGGTGACCTACACCAACCGCTTCATAGTGTTCAAGAGGAATACACTGAGCCAGCCATGTGGGGGAGCTGTGAGTCTGCAGCCTCGGAGGCATCTAGCATACAGGTAAGTGTTCCACGCTGCAGACAGGACCTAGGCTATGATCAGCACAACACGCATAGGACAGCTACAGATTTCAAAGGTTGGCAATGCATTGTGTGTAGTAGCAGTAATGGTATAATTATGTTCTGTATAACTGCCATGTGATTTACCTGTGCTCTACCAGGCCTGACTAGCCCCTCACCTGTCATTTGCTGTTTGTCTCTGTTCAGGTTACGCCTGGCCTCCTTTGATAACAGTGGGAAGCTGGTGTGTAGTCGATCCACTGGTTACCAGCTTCTCACCCTGGAGAAAGACCAGGTCAGTCAGACCACACATAATCCACGTTCTGAAATGTTCCTCCCCTCTTGAAATTAACACATCACTATCTTAAGTATTGCCTGAATCAGATTATATAATTATGGCTGTAACTTACATTCTGTGCTCTCCCTGTTCCTGTCTCTCTTCCAGGAGTATGTGGTGATGAACCTGGACAGTCGGCTCTTGTCGTTCCCCCTCTATGTGTGCTGTAACTTCCAGTACACATCTCCTCATATGGACCGCCGTCCTGATGCCCCTGAACCAGAGAGCAGCGCCCGCAGTTTATCCTGATATCAGCTCCACACCCTCAGCCCAGTCCCCTTATAATATAGGCTAGTCCTGTCCCAAACCAGCATCTTCCATGGCCCCTCTCTGATCTCAGGCTGTGGCCCACAGCTTCTACCCCACACAACCCTGGCAGCTGCATGCTCTTTAGCCCAGTCTGTTGTGTTTTGGGATACGTTGTGTTTTTCAAAAATATTTATCATTCTTCAGTTTTCATTTTATAACATTCATTATTTGAAGGTTCATTTTTTATTTCATTCATTTGACATGCCTTTTTTGTATAATTTATTGTGCTTTTTTTATGAAAGAAAAAACCCCACAAAAAACCTTACACTGCCAATATATTGTCCACACCAGTGGGCTGTGGTGCTATCAGAAGTGTGACCATGGTCATCTCTCATCTCTCACAGGGAATTATCAGTTACTAGGTCTGTACATCCATTACTATCCTCTATGTAATTACTAACACGTACAATATTGCTAATTGAGTATGTTGGCCACTATAGTGGGTCTGAATTAGATGTGAATTTCAAATACCTACGGCAGAATATGGTGCTGCTTTTAAACTTTCAAAATATTTGTTTAATTTCTAGTCTACATTTTGGATAATTGTAATATACATGCCATAATGTGTTGGACAAATATATTTATTTTGGACCAAAGTGGCATGGCAGTCTTGACAAAATAGTTTACTGATCTACTGTCAGTTTGATCTACAGTGGTGGCTTATCTTTACACTGTGCAGTCATTCATGATATAGTACTATTCATATTGTTGCGTTGTCGAGAAGAACCTGCAAGTAAGCATTTCGTTGGACAGTGTATACCATGTGTATCCTGTACATATGACTAATAACTTGAAACTTGTGCTGTAATATCCTCACTGAAATGCTGTCAATTAGTTTTTTTTACCATTAGTCTGCATATATTTGTACATTATACAGATTTCACTATGCTGTACATGCTTAGTTATTAAAACTGGTGTTTTCAAAAGCTGTATATGGTGTGTGCATTACTATTCACGTTTTGATGAATTGCCAAAAGACGCAGCTAGATAAAGAAATTCAGGTTAAAAGATATTACCAATGCAATTCCACCCTTTTCACCATTGTTTAAATGTTTATATAAAAACAGAGGGAAAGAATCACAGAACAGGTTGCAGATATTAAGAGCAGTCACTGAGGCAGAATAAAGACTAAAATCATACAACAGATAGGCTATCAAGACATGTAATAAATCACCCTCACACAGTTCACATTTTGCTGTTAGACAATTCTGTAATGGCACAGGCCTGCTGAGTAAATTCATCTGGCCTATCTCTGGTCTTTAGGTTCAACCAATAAACAGTAAGTGTTCCACACAGACACATGTAGGCCAGCCAGTTTGCAAGGGATCTGTAGTCTCTTCTGATTAAGCAGAGGTATCTCCCCGACAGCATGGACTAATCTTTTACCAGGACTCAAATCTCATCCTTGCCAGCTGTAAACCCCACATGAACCCCTTTCCGTCACCGAGGTATTGGATCTGCCATTTCAGTGTTTCCCCTAGGATGTTTTTCAGCAGAGGTAGTATGTGTGTGGGGGACGAATGGGGTCTTCCTGGGGCTTACATCTATTATAAAAAAATGCATATAGGGGAAACACTGCATTTCTAACTGTTTAGACTTCTTCACTGTTATTAGAGTCGGAGAGTAAACTTTATGAACCCCTTTGTCACTGTAGTATGGAGTCCAAGATGTCTCGTGCATCTGCTGTACGCTCTCCCCTTCTCACTGTGGAATAGAGTTCAGGTTCTCTTTGAGTCTGTGTGTCATGCTGGGTATCAGGTTGACGTGGTCGTCCACACAGCTGCCCACACAGTTCTCCATCAGGGACCGCACGGCTGGCTCCTTGGCACCAGAGTCCAACAGGTCCCTGGCCTTGTCATTGCAGTGCATGGTGCACCTGGTCAGCCGGTCCTGGGCATGGGGAGACAAAGATAATCACAATCAAGCTACACATTCTCTGTATCGGCTGTCAAATGATATTCAAGGTTGTTGTAAACTAAAACAAAAAAGCACATGATACTCACCTGAAATTTCTCTAGTTCATTGGTCACTAGTCCTTGAGCCTGAGCCAGAGGGGTGTGGCAGCGTTCAATACAATTGTGCACCTGCGACATGGAGTCTGTGGAGCGTTCGCAGCACTCTGCACTGCACTTAAACATGAGACCCTGGGTACATTATGCACAAGACAGATTTGAACTGTGCACCTGATATAAGCCTAAGTGTTGACAATTACAGGTTGCAAATAATGTATGCTTGGAGAAAGAGAGGGCGGTTTGTAGATAATGCTGATTCCATGACCACTTACTTGCATCTTGCGAATGTGGTTCCGTTCTAAGCTTTGAACCATATCCTCTATGGTTTTCTGTACACGAGCTTGATGTGCCTCTGCCATCTCAAATGTTACTCTCAGTAGCGTGGCTATTTAAGCTCAATTCTAACTGTTAGAAGATAACGTTTAGCTACGATGCACAGCTGAATAACAGCCACACCAATTACATACAGAATGTTATTACAAGATTGGAAGCCTTATTACGTTACTGTTTCAACACAAGGTCACCTCCGTGAAAGCATGCTTCTTCGTTCAAATGCAAACAACGTCACATCTGCTCTAGTTCCGGCTTTATCTTGGTCATTTCCGGTTCCCAATATGGTCGCGACGTGACCGAAGTCTCCGCTTTGAAGTCCCAACTTTAAACTTACAACACTGTGCGGGTTCTATATTTGTTACTCAACAACTTATTTGACTAAATTACGAGTTAGATAAGTAAATAGCTTGCTTCGTTTTAAAGATCCTCTGTAAACTCGTAGCTAGTAAAACTTCATCGTGAACTCCTTGTGAAGTCTTCACCACTGCTGACATTTGAAATGGTGAGCAGTGCACACTTATCAGTTATCAGACCTTTTTAATTGTCTGATTTTAGCTACTAACTAAGTGGGGTGATATCGTTTATGTTGTTAAGATATCAAACAGTAAACAAAAATGCCAATCACCATGAAAGACTGCTCCTCAAAAGATCAAGTGTGCTGCCCTTTGACCCAGAGAGATTAACACACTTCTTGAAAACACTGATGGTACACATGTCACCACCAGCAGCAGTCTATGCTGTCTGGCCTTAATTGACCCAGCAATTCACACAATCATATTAAAGTGACATGTTTCTGACTACTGATCAGTTGTGAATGTGTAGCCTATGTTATTTTTGTCATTGAATTATGGTTTGTTTAATCTCTACTCAGATAACCTTTCTTGGAAGGAATTGAATGCACATGATGATTTCAAGAACCCTGTCAATCAGGGCACTCCTGTTCTTGGGGCTCTGTCAAGCTGGACGGAGGAGTTTAGCCTCAGCTCCAGAACGCAGAGATCCACCCAAGAGGATAGGTAAGCCAATCTCAGTCTAGACTCCACATTCCATTGTCTTTGTCAATGGCATCCAGTGTTGTGTGGCTACGCAGTAGCACATCAGTTCTGCATAGGTGTGTTAACACATCTCCATGAATTTAGTTATATTGGCCCAGAGAGCATTTCTATTTCACATATTTACATGACACACATTTTTAAACGTATTAATTGTTCATTTTACTCCCCTTGGACTTCGAATGACATTGCATTGTGGTTCTGTTCTATTAACAGCTGTGGTTGGAGCGGGCATCGGTGGCACAGCAACAGCTTACTTCCTGAGACAGGAGTTTGGGGCAGCGGTGAAGATCGATGTGTTTGAGCCAGGCACTGTGGGGGGGCGCTTGGCCACCCAGAACATTGGGGACTATGAGTACGAGACGGGGGGCGCAGTTATCCACCCCCTAAATCTGCACATGAAGCACTTCCTTGAAAGACTAGGTGAGACATGTTAGCCTATCAGAGATACACTTGCTTGTTCCTGAAAGAGTGCAGTACACATGCACAGACAGACTAATGACACCCATCTTTATTTCTCCCATGTTTCTCTCAGGTCTTTCCCAGAGGCGGGATGTCCCTGGAAAAATGGCCATCTTTGATGGAAAGGAGCTCATCTTTGAAGAGAGTGACTGGTTTATTGGGAACTTCCTGCGCCTGCTTTGGCGGTACGGGTTCAACTTCCTGCGGATGCAGATGTGGGTGGAAAGTGTTCTGGATAAATTCATGAGGTGAGACTTCAGTTTCTGCTACCTGTCTATTTACAACTCAGCAGTCAAAACCTTTATTATGAAATAAGTATGTTATTAATGAGAGAAGAGTGCTAATTGTAGGTATGTGATGTTTTGGTTCTTGTTTTTCCAGAATCTACCAGTACCAGCAGTTTGGCTACTCCTTCACCAGTGTGGAGAAGCTCCTGCATGCAATGGGTGGTGACGATTTCCTCACACTAGCCAATCAGACGCTGGAGGAGGCCATGTTGGGGGAGGGCTTTTCTCAGAGCTTCCTCAACGACGTCGTGGCACCTGTCACCCGTGTGAACTATGGCCAAAGTGTCCGCATCAATGGCTTTGTGGGTAGGTTTTTAGGCAACAAAATAAATGCACACCAAAGTGGTTTGATAAGTGGTTTCGAGTGCTCTTATGTGGCCATCCAATCAAATCTATTTTATCTTGAAAACATAAGGAAACTGAACTAATCCTTGTGAAATGTGTGATGTTGTCTCCAGGGGCGGTGTCTCTAGCAGGGGCAGATCCAGGCCTGTGGGCAGTGGACGGAGGAAATAAGAAGGTGTGCTCAGGACTCCTGTACCACAGCAAGGCCGAGCTCATCCCAGCACGAGTCACTGCTATCTCTGTCAAGCTGCGACCATCTAAAGCAGGTACATACACTGAGTGTACGAAACATTCAAGTGACATCAATAAGGGATCATAGCTTTCACCTGGGTTCACCTGGTCAGTCTATGTCAGGTGTTCCTGCTCTTTCCATGACATAGACTGACCAGGTTAATCCAGGTGAAAGGTATGATCCGTTATTGATTTCACTTGTTAAATCCACTTCAATCCGTGTAGATGAAGGGGGGGAGACAGGTTAAGAAGGATTTTTAAGCCTTGAGACAATTGAGACGTGTGCCATTCAGAGGGTGACTGGGCAAGACAAAATATTTAAATGCCTTTGAACGGGGTATGGTAGTAGGTGCCAGGCGCACCGGTTTGAATGTGTCAAGAACTGCAACGCTGCTGGATTTTTCACACTCAACAGTTTCCCTTGTGTATCAAGAATGGTCAACCACTCAAAGGGCATCCAGCCAACTTGACACAACTGTGGGAAGCATTGGAGTCAACATGGGCCAGCATCCCTGTGGAATGCTTTGGACGTCTTGTAGAGTCCATGCCCCGACAAATAGAGGCTGTTTTGAGGGCAAAGGGGGGTGCAATTCAATATTAGGAAGGTGTTCCTAATGTTTTGTACACTCGGTGGATATACACATAAATGTCTCAAGTAACTAACAGCACAGGTACTTGTTACATAAACCTGAAAGTAGGCTAAAATCTGTTCTGTAGCTGCTAAGGGTCTACTCATTCTCTCTTTCTCCTGTTCACAGGTACCACAGCCAGTCTTTATGAGGTAAACTATGTTGGGGACTCTGGCTCCGCCCATTCCCTGTATGACATAGTGATTGTGGCCACACCTCTCCACCAGGGAAAGTCTGACATCACCTTTGCAGGCTTCTCCCCGCCCATTCCCTCCCAATACCCTGGGCGCTACCACCAGACTGTCACCACCCTGGTCCACGGTCTCCTTAACGTGTCCTACCTGGGGACCTCTGAGAAGCCTTCTACCTTCAGTGTGTCAGAAGTTCTCACCACAGACACCAAGGGCTCCATCATCAACAGCCTGAGCTCTATTGACCCTGTGCACATCCCACCAGGCTACTCACGCCCGCCAGCCAGCGAGAGCAAGGTGTGGAAAGTGTTCTCTCCTCAGCCTCTGTCCCAGGAGCATCTCCAGGACATGTTCCTATCATGGGACTCCATCTCAGAAACGAAGTGGCTGGCGTACCCTGCTTACAGTCCACCACACCGCAGGACCCCTCCATTCATCCTCCATGAGCGCCTGTACTACCTGAATGCTGTGGAGTGGGCAGCCAGTGCCATGGAGATGAGCGCCATCTCAGCCAGGAACCTGGCACTGTTGGCACATCACCGCTGGAACTCCCAGGTGGGCAGAATCGACCAAGAGGATCTGCACACACGTCTGAGGGGAGAGCTGTGAAAAGGGAGGGAGGGAGAGAGGGAGGGAAAGAGGGAGGGACGGAGGGACGGACAGACAGCAGAAGGGGAGAAGAGTAAATCATGAGAAATTGCATTAATATCAGTCTGAGATATTCCACACCAAAACACTTCTGTCTAGGTGAACACTAGTCTGGGGTGTTCTGCCCAATTATGAAGCTATATCCATTGACCCACTATATTGATATATTTTGTATTGAAAAAGTCAACTTAAATAATATAGACTCTAACATTAGCACATCATTTTCAGCAAATGATATTCAGGAGATATTCTTGCACTGTGCTGAATAGAATGATCACTGTGACAACAACATAGCAAACTATGCTATACTGCAGGGTAAAAGTACAATTATTGTTTAATAGATGTATGTGTTGAACAGACAAGGCATTGGGTTTTCACATATATAGCTGCTCTAGATGGTACTGCTAACTTTCTGTATTTCGTAATGTTTCAAATACATCTGGAAAATGTACCCTGTGGCTACTCTAGACCCATCTATACATGTCTTCATGCTGCGTCTCAAGCTCTCTACCTCTGGCGTAGTGTTGAAAAGGTTGTAAAGCAAATTGGTTGGTGAAATTTAAGTGGTTGTGCAAAAAAAAACGGTTCTTGCAAGGAAAATTGGCCAAAAGATTATTGCAAAGGTTTTGGTGTTATACAATTATGAATACACCAATGAAGAACAAACCCCTATTCGCACTGATCATTTGATGTCGTTTGAAAATGTATTGTAGTCTATTTACATATTTCTAAATTGTGCCTTTGAAATTACTAAGCAATGCTCTTTATATCTGGGAATCAGCCTTTCTACTTGCTTTCAGAAAATATTTTGTCTCTGTTTTTGGTATGTTTGTCATCTATGTGATGAGCAAATTGTGCCATAAAACTAGTCTTCCATTGGGACCAACGTCAAATATAAGAACACAAAGTACATCTATTTTACTGTGAGTGACAAGTATCCTTCAGAAAATATAGTCTTCTATTCTGGGAGGTACATTTCAAGTTTCTCTGTAATTACTCTGAGAATAACCATAGTTGGTTTAGCCTTTCTAATGCACTTTTAGAGGTTTTTAGGGTTTCTATGCGTTTGTGATAAAGAGTTAGATACTGTACAACCATAGTAAATGGTGCACTTTAATATATAGAATAGTATGACAAATTTTACAGCAAATTCCTAGATGTTTAGACATTAACTATATTGATGGAAGAGGGACAGTATTTTGAAGTCAGCTGAGTTGACTCCCAAATGTTGGCACAGATTAAATGCAAGCTTTTCTAAACAAATTTGAAATCAGAGTTTGTAATTGCGATATGTTTTATGCTCTATTTGACATGGTCTTCTATGGATTTTCAGGAAAAATTAAATGACTTCAATCTTGTTTTGTCCATTTTTTTAAAGAATGGGACTTGAAATCAATGTTTACAATCAGAATAAAGAGGTAACACACTGAAGTGATGAATGTCATCTTTAATTAAACAATACATACTCTGCCAGGCCCCGAAGATGCAAATAGCCTCATGTTCTTCAATAAACTGGACATTGAAAGCCCAAACCACATTTTCTTATTTGCAGATAGCGCCATTTGCCCTGTGTTGTGGAGTAGTTCAACTAGTAATTTAACTACATTTTGCAGTAGCTTGGCAGTAGTTTAACTAAATTAAAATCATCATATTGTTTTCGGTAGTATAACTACTTCAACTACCCACTAAATCTTTTGCCAAAAAATAAGAAAATAAACGGGTAAGTCAACACACACTCACTGGCTGTCACACAGATCTCATTGCACTGTTGACATCTGACTCCAGAGTGATGTGTTCTTGAAGTAAAAGTTTCATAACTTTGTATTATATGACATTAAAGATATAATTTTTCTTGAGGTAGTTTTGATGTATTGAACTACTTTTTAAAAGTAACTATTTTCTCTTAAGGGTAGCTTTACCTTCCAGTGTGAAGTAATTGGTAGCCTTGTAAACTATATTTTGAAAGTTGCTTTATATTTTGAAATTGGTCAATAAAAGTAAGGGTCACATTGCTAGATAACAAAAATATTACTGAAAAAGGTACAGTAGCAATGATATTGTGAGAGATCATTGAGGGGTTCAAATGTCATACAGATATCATTCACTGTTCCCAAACAAATTAGAATTAAAACGGAATGCTCTGTACCAAAAATGACATCATCAGGTCTGTGCACAATGGATGAATTGTCTCTCTGAGGTGGTCTGTACCCCACATCAGAACACAGTGTCAGTGATACACAATAATAAATAAATAAAATATTCCAGAAAGGAAATTAGGTTTGCTTTTGACAACATGGACAGACCGTCCTACAACACCCCCCCCCCCCCCCCAGGGGCATCTGACAGGGGAGCCGACAATGGGTGACATTCACTCCCTGAATAATGACACGTCTGTGTTGTGGCCGGGATGTGTCACCCAGATGCCCCCAGGTAGGGAGGGACAATGGTACCACAGCCGCCTGTCCATGCAAAGCATGTGATGAGAGAGACAGTATAAAAGGGCCACTGGCCGACAAAAAAACAATACCCAGTTTGGACTGACCCTATACCACCTTCTATAACCAACCACAGAGCCAAGATGAGAGTCGAGGTGCCCATATTCCTCTTTCTGGCCGCAACAGGATTCCATGCTGGTATGATAATTGTGTGGTTTATATTCTTAATGTCATAACATCTCCAATATATTTTGGTTTAAATATCCGTCAGTTGTGGCATTTGATGAAGCATTGTACCAAGATGAATGCTGTTTCATGTTGTATTGTGCAATGGTAATGTAAATATGGCCTTTAGCCTATTTTTATGTGATTGGGTTTCTATTGAATCCTTACATTTGATGGATAACATGGCCTGAGAAAAATATGAGTTGGTGAGATATAATCACATATAATTTGTGTTGGATAATATAATATTCAAATTTGATAATAAATTGCCTTCTGACATCCCCAGTTCTCGCTGCATCCCTGGAATTGGCAGAAAAAGAGGACACATTTGCTGAGGATGGTAAGAAAGCCCATTATGGATGATGATAATGATGATGATAATGATGATAATGATGATGATGTTGAGTGCATTCCTGGCAACTCATATAGGTTTTTCACTTTTTCCAGTGGGGCTGGAGCAGCTAAGTGACCTGCAAAAGAGAGGTACAATTATCAATATCTCAGAGATGCTTATAAAGGAGCTTCTGCTCCATGCACAGCTACTGCCTTATCGTTAACAGCTGCAATGAATTTGACTGAATTTATCTAACTCAACTGGATTTTTTTGATGTACTCAAGGGCACAAATGGCTCGTAGTGCTAAAGTTTGCATTAAGCAAAATAAATTCCCTCCCTTTCTCTGTCCTCAGATCAGGAGCAGTTCGAAGCAGCTCAAATGAATGGTAAGACAGTGACACAAGCAATGATTCAAGTCTATGACCTGTCTGAAATTGTCTCGCCATATAATTTGTTTTCATTTTAATTAACACGATGAAGGAACAATCATTTCCATATTTCCTTCCATCTACAGAGGATGCACATAGTGAGGATGTACGCTACTTGGGTAAGGGAATCCTACCCTTATAAAAACAAATAAGGGGACATCAGAGCCATTGTCTGTGTTTTTGTGCATTTGGCCTATTGATAGTGAAATAATACGATTTGACTTCTTGTTTTCCTTTAACAAATGTTATTTTTCATATGTCTACTGTAGAGGCTGTTCAAGATGAAAATACTGGTAAGGACTGTAGTCTGCTGTAGGCATGTGCATACTTATTAATCAACAATATTTATATTTTTATATTATCTTTATCTTTTAACTCTGCATTGTTGGAAAAGGACTTGTAAATAAGCATTTCACTGTTAGTCGACACCTGTTGTTTACGAAGCATGTGACAAATAAAAATGTATTTACAATACGTTTTTGAAAATGTAGGCCTATTTTTAAAATGTTACAGAGGAGAATGACACTCAGGAGGAGGAGGACATGGGTACGAGCATATTTCACATGTTGAAATTACAAAAAATTGGTTACTGATGGTCACGTGTTTTTGCTTAGTTTGTTCAGATTACATGATTTTACTCCTTTCGCTTTCCAGCAGACAGAGACAGAGACAGAGACGTTGAAGCAGACGAAGAGGGTAAGGAAAGGTTGAATGCATGGTGTTCAAAAACACACCTGTAGATGGAAATAAAGTGTTAGAAGACCGACATGAGGGTATCAGCAGGAAATTCAATGGATGTATGATTATGCAATTCAAAATATTATGATGATTATGAAGATTATATATTTGAGATTCATGGAGGTACATGTATAAGCCTAACTCTCCCGTTTTCCTACAGAGTCTGAGTCTGATGAGGAAATAGATGGCGAGTATTTACCTTTTTCAAAATACACTACATGACCAAAAGTATGTGGACACCTGCTCGTTGAACATCGCATTCCAAAATCATGGGCATTAATATGGAGTTGGTCCCCCCTTTGCTGCTATAACAGCCTCCACTCTTCTGGAAGACTTTCCACTTGATGTTGGAACATTGTTGCGGGGACTTGCTTCCATTCACCCACAAGAGCATTACTGAGGTTGGGCACTGATGTTGGGCGATTAGGCCTGGCTCGCAGTCAGCGTTCCAATTTATCCCGAAGGTGTTCGATGGGGTTGGAAACACAAATTCGTCTAGAATGTCATTGTATGCTGTAGCGTTAAGATTTCCCTGCACTGGAACTAAGGGGCCTAGCCCGCCCCGAACCATGAAAAAAAGCCCCAGACCATTATTCCTCCTCCACCAAACTATACAGTTGGCACTATGCATTCGGGCAGGTAGCGTTCTTCTGCCATCCGCCAAACCCAGATTCGTCAGTCGGATTGCCAGATGGTGAAGCGTGATTCATCACACCAGAGAACGCGTTTCCACTGCTCCAGAGTCCAATGGCTGCGAACTTTACACCACTCCAGCCGACGCTTGGCATTGCGCATGATGATCTTAGGCTTGTGTGCAGCTGCTTGGCCATGGAAACCCAGTTCATGAAGCTCCCGACAAACAGTTATTGTGCTGACTTTGCTTCCAGAGGCAGTTGGGAACTTCGTAGTGAGTGTTGCAACTGAGGACTGATTTTCACTCAGTGGTCCCGTTCTTGTGTGGCCTACCATTTCGGGGCTGAGCCGTTGTTGCTCCTAGACGTTTCCACTTCACAATAACAGCACTTACAGTTGACCGGGGCAGTTCTAGCAGGGAAGAAATTTGACGAACTGACTTGTTGGAATGGTGGTATCCTATGACGGTGCCATGTTGAAAGTCACTGAGCTCTTCAGTAAGGCCATTCTACTGCCAATGTTTGTCTATGGAGATTGCATGGCGGTGTGCTCGATTTTCAACACCTGTCAGCAACGGGTGTGGTTGAAATAGCCGAATCCACTAATTTGAAGGGGCGTCCACATACTTTTGTGTATATAGTCTTGTTGACTGCCTGTCTTGTTGACTCTGGGAGTAGAAGTTCATATACACACACTATGTTATATAATATCCCCCTTTTTTCTCTTCACAGATGAGCTCATTGAGGACAAAGCCAGAGACAAAGTGAGGACAAAGCCAGAGACAAAGGTGATCATTTCTTAATTTGACCCCTCTAGTGTCCATGTTCCATCAAAATGTGTGTGTGTGTGTGTGTGCCTGCATGCGTTTGCTCTAGCTGTTGTTGAAGTTATTTAATATTTTCCACTCCTCATAAAATGTGAAGATGCTGGGGTTTGACTTGATTCAGATAAGATTGTGTCCCAAGTGGGATGAAATTGACTGTAAAGGAATGAGCTTCATCAGTTTACCCTCTAGTTACACTCTACATTTCCATCTGATAAAACTGGAATCTTACAACACACAGTAAACACAAATGTACCACAGTTGTATAATAGCGTCCTGGCAGTGCAACATGTTTTTATTACACTCATGCGAACAAGTAATGACATCTTTGTTGTCCTAAAAACGGTGCTTTGTAGTGAGCACATCAACATCATATGTTGAATAATAGTTTTATAGTTAACAAGCTACTTTTACCAAAAGACAGTGAAAACTGTTTTTATGAACTATGCCAGTCAGTCCGAGTCACTGTAAAAATATAAATGTTATACACAAGCATTCTTTGTATGGTCAAGATTTACTCTTTGTGAGTTTATGAGGAAAACCACATCATAGAGCTAGACTTTATTAGTGACCTCATAACCAAAACATTCCATGGAAAGACTGTCCTAGACCACGAGTCACAAGATGTCAAACTAGTTGAATTAGTTCAACTAGAAGTCCTAGGTTTTACTGCACAACTTCTAGGACACTGACAGCAGTGGCAACATGATTGTTTGTTTGAATGTTGGCCCCCTTGCTTTTACACTATTTAGGACAGAAATCCAGGGCACTCCAAGACGCCTGTCCCCAGATGCTCATCTGTGCTTGATTTATTTTGCATCATATGCTGTGTCCTGGGTTATTTCTGGACCCGAGATGCACCGTTCCTTTCCTAGCCTGTATGAGTCAAGGGAGGCACATTTTGGACAAACTATAGGACCAAGGTCATTATCTACATGTTCAGTCCTTCATTTTAGGCTTTGGGTCTTGATTCCTGAAAATAAATTAATATCATGTATTGTAATCATTTACAACTAGTTTCTAGATCATGGGGTTAACCTTCGTGTGAAAATGCACTTTACTGGGCATGAAAGGAGCCCTTACGTCCTGTATCAATGACTTTTCACAGCTTCTGTGCTAGAACGAGTCAGGTCAGGAGATGATGGGGGTTGGTTGAGGAATCATACACGTGGCTTTGAGACTCCTGGGGGAGTAGGATACTCGTGTGTGTGTGTTGGTCAGAAAACCTAAAGGAATCAATTCTCACTTTATCTGTGTCACAGCTTAGGTTGAGTGAGCCTGCAGGAGGCATCATGTGAGGAGGCGGAGCCTGCAGACCTCCCCCCACCTTCCATTACAGAACCTGAAGAACACTGTGCATCGGAAGAGTTTACTGTCAATAAAGAGAAACATCTCACCATTATATTACACTCCTGTGTGACTATCCTTATGCAATAGGTATTTATTTGAAATGTCATGGTTTATGAAAAGTGAGTCTTTCAAAGCACCTTAAAAAAAACATTCAAAGAAACCTGTACAGTGAGGGAAAAAAGTATTTGATCCCCTGCTGATTTTGTACGTTTGCCCACTGACAAAGACATGATCAGTCTATAATTTTAATGGTAGGTTTATTTGAACAGTGAGAGACAGAATAACAACAAAAAAATTAAAATGAAACACGTCAGAAATGTTATGAATTGATTTGCATTTTAATGAGGGAAATAAGTATTTGACCCCTCTGCAAAACATGACTTTGTACTTGGTGGCAAAACCCTTGTTGGCAATCACAGAGGTCAGACGTTTCTTGTAGTTGGCCACCATGTTTGCACACATCTCAGGAGGGATTTTGTTCCACTCCTCTTTGCAGATCTTCTCCAAGTCATTAAGGTTTCGAGGCTGACGTTTGGCAACTCGAACCTTCAACACCCTCCACAGATTTTCGATGGGATTAAGGTCTGGAGATTGGCTAGGCCACTCCAGGACCTTAATGTGCTTCTTCTTGAGCCACTCCTTTGTTGCCTTGGCCGTGTGTTTTGGGTCATTGTCATGCTGGAATACCCATCCACGACCCATTTTCAATGCCCTGGCTGAGGGAAGGAGGTTCTCACCCAAGATTTGACGGTACATGGCCCCGTCCATCGTTCCTTTGATGCGGTGAAGTTGTCCTGTCCCCTTAGCAGAAAAACACCCCCAAAGCATAATGTTTCCACCTCCATGTTTGACGGTGGGGATGGTGTTCTTGGGGTCATAGGCAGCATTCCTCCTCCTCCAAACACGGCGAGTTGAGTTGATGCCAAAGAGCTCCATTTTGGTCTCATCTGACCACAACACTTTCACCCAGTTCTCCTCTGAATCATTCAGATGTTCATTGGCAAACTTCAGATGGGCATGTATATGTGCTTTCTTGAGCAGGGGGACCTTGCGGGCGCTGCAGGATTTCAGTCCTTCACGGCGTAGTGTGTTACCAATTGTTTTCTTGGTGACTATGGTCCCAGCTGCCTTGAGATCATTGACAAGATCCTCCTGTGTAGTTCTGGGCTGATTCCTCACCGTTCTCATGATCATTGCAACTCCATGAGGTGAGATCTTGCATGGAGCCCCAGGCCGAGGGAGATTGACAGGTCTTTTGTGTTTCTTCCATTTGCAAATAATCGCACCAACTGTTGTCACCTTCTCACCAAGCTGCCTGGCGATGGTCTTGTAGCCCATTCAAGCCTTGTGTAGGTCTACAATCTTGTCCCTGACATCATTGGAGAGCTCTTTGGTCTTGGCCATGGTGGAGAGTTTGGAATCTGATTGATTGCTTCTGTGGACAGGTGTCTTTTATACAGGTAACAAACTGAGATTAGGAGCACTCCCTTTAAGAGTGTGCTCCTAATCTCAGCTCGTTACCTGTATAAAAGACACCTGGGAGCCAGAAATCTTTCTGATTGAGAGGGGGTCAAATACTTATTTCCCTCATTAAATGCAAATCAATTTATAACATTTTTGACATGCATTTTTCTGGATTTTGTTGTTGTTATTCTGTCTCTCACTGTTCAAATAAACCTACCATTAAAATTATAGACTGATCATTTCTTTGTCAGTGGGCAAACGTACAAAATCAGCAGGGGATCAAATACTTGTTTCCCTCACTGTAAATACACAGAGAAAATAATGAAAATACAAGGTAATAGCTTTCAATTTGTATTTATTTTCCCTCCCCCAGTCTGAGTAGACTGTATGCCGTCTGTGCATAACAAACCAGTATTTTCTTTGGTGACTAAAAAAACAACTTTAAGGCAACTACAGCATAGATAAGTCTAAATGCATTTAGTACTGCAGCAGCCCAGTACTGCAACTCTTGGTGGCATCACAGCAGTACACCACCCCCCTTTCCAACAGAGCATCTGGTCAAGGTCCACACACCACCAGGTTTAGGGTAGTAACCTGCCACCTCTCACACTAATCTCATCAACCAGATATAAAACATATAGCTGAGAGAGGGTGGCAAGAGCAACCCGATGTGTATGCAAGTGTACATTCCACAGAGCAAGAGTACAGGGAAGTTACTTGTTACAATTCTGCAGTTAAATTGCAAAACAGAGACTACAGAAGGCTTGAGCAGCACTAACGCATTACACCATCTAGTTTGATGCAATCAAGTTTAACAGGAAATGTAAAGGTCTTTTCACGAGTGTTAAATTTGTTCAGGTTTACCTCGTGTTTTCAGTAGAGGTCTGCTACCACCATGATTAATGCCAAAACTAACCCAGAATATATACTGATGTATGGAACTAGATGGTTTTATCCTTCACTTGCTTCAAAACAATTGAAAGTGACAATTTCAACTTCTTACAATGATGCCATTAAAACAATTTTATTTAAAATAACTAGCCACATGAAAGTGTGACTGATTCAGACCACTTAAACATTACTTAGAAAAATGTGCCATTTTAGCCAATTTCCCAATGAATAATGATTTGTCCCAAGAGCCAGCGTGGTAAGAGCTAGGCTAGGTCAGGTCCCGTAACACCTGCTCTGTGCTCAAAGAGCATATGGCAAGTAGAGAAACAAAGGGGTCTACTCAGTCTGGTTTCATGTTGAGCGCATTTCAGTTAAATTAGGTAGTCTGACACTACATAAAAAAATCTATTGCATTACAATAACGCAGAGCCAATGACTAACAGCTAAAGTACAGAAAATCAGAGGGACCATTGTAACAAGTTGAGGAAGCTGAGACAATCAGCTCAGAGGGGCTTGCGCATCGTTTCCTGTACTTCTATACAGACCAGGGTTCTGTTCAGTTGCTGAGTGACAGTCAAACTCTGTTCGATCAGGAAAGGGCGAGGGGAAAACAAGCGCTCCTGCACATGAGGAAAAACAATTCCACACACAATTCTTAAACTTGTTTAGTGACAAAAAGACCCGCAAACAAATTATTTGACAATGGCATGTAAAGGAGAACACCCCAATAATCTCACTTTTCAACCTAAAAATACTGCTAATTCTAGGTTACTTTGAGCATAATTTTTTTTTAAATTATGTATGTCAGGAGAAATAGATATTTCAATAAAGGCCAATACTGCATTGTAATTGTGTCATATGAACTTGTAAAATAAGATTAAAAAAAAAAAAAACAGGAACATGGTTGTATGTACATAATTACACAATAAAAAAAACGGAAGTAGTGGAGTATCAGAAAATGCTTTGATTAGTTATTTACAAGATCATGAGCATTGAAAAGCAAATAAATACAGCCAAGTCAGACAAAATGTATGTCCCATTGGAAGTGATCTGGCGGAACAACCAACCATCACTTAAGGTTGAGAATGATGCAGCCAAGAACCACAGGCCAATATCATAACATCATTTTTTTCCCTTTAACATTTCTTCATGTATTTTTTCCTTTGGGTATGTTGGTTAGGGGCATATACCCGCCTTCCAACCCCTTCTCCTTTTCACTCCCCCTCCTCTCCCCTGGTGCGAGCGGGCGTTTGTTCCTTCTCCTCCCCTGTTGTGGGGTGCAGGAAGCCCTGGGCTCACAGGATGACATAGATGAAGAGGGCCATGATGGCAGCGCTGATCAGGCCAGAGATGGGCACAGTCACAAACCAGGCCATGAAGATGTTCCGGAACAGACGCCAGTCCACACCCTTCCTGGACCGCAGCCAGCCAACCGCTACCACAGAGCCCACCTGGAAACACACACGATTGACGCACTGACCTTTGATAAACACTTAGGAACCATGGCCCATTAAGACGTGGACAACACTCCCCCTGACAGTAGCTGAATGGATTCTGTTTACGTCTTGGTTTGAGAGTTTTAAAGTGGAAATTAGAACCAGTTTGAACCGCCAATCTCAGACATCCTGTTTACTGCTCCCTCCCCTCCACATCAGACCAGTGTCTGAGGCTGAACAGCTTACCTTGCAGTGGGTGGTGGAGACAGGCAGGCCAATGTTGGAGGCAACCACAACGGTCAGAGCTGAGGCAAGTTCAATGCTGAAACCACTGCAATGAAAATAAATCCAGATTGAGTCAACGGTTGGTTGTCTGTCGATGTACCTTTGTCATTTCATGGATAGTGAAGCGTGGGGGTGTTTTTGTGAAGTCTCATGTCTGTGGGGAATGTTGTTGTAAAGGTGCCATTTGACTGTTTGATTTAGATTTGGCAGTCTGGTACATACCTGGAGGGAGTGATTGGGGTGAGGTCCTTGCCCATGGTCTGGATAACCCTGCGACCCCACACCCAGAGCCCGAGGCAGATGCCAACTCCTCCATATAACAGCAGCCAGATGGGTGTGGGGGCGCTGGAGTTCACCGAACCACTATTGTACACCAGCCACAGAGCTACCAAGGGACCAATGGCATTGCTGCAGGAGAAGAGACTAGGTTACGCAAATACAAACCAGATACAAAAAGTCCCTCTACATGAACATAAGCAGCAACCCTACTACTAGTCAAAAAAAGATTTTAAAAACAGCGGTAAAACGCCTATTCATCCAAGATGGAACATCTCCCTACCTGACGTCGTTGCCTCCATGGGCGAAGGAGCCGAAGCAGGCGGTGAGGATCTGGAGGAACCTGAAGAGCTCGGAGACCTCTGGGCGGTCATGGTCATGGCCATCCTCCTCCAGAGAGCTGCGGCTGCTGCCAGCGTCCTCCTCTCCCATCTCCAGAGTCACCTCTGCCTCCCCCAGGCCCTCAGGAGCGCCGTGCTCGGCCACAGCGTTGCAGTAGCTTGTGTAGCTGTCCATGCGCACACGCTTCTTCTTCTCCTCTGTACCCTTGTCCTCGCTGGCGTGGAACTCGCCCTCTTTGGGCCGGAAGTCCCCGTGCATGCCGATGATGGCCATGGTGTAGGAGGTGTAGCTGTTGTTGCGGCGGATGGGTCTGTCGCCTGCCTCGCCCATGCAGTCGCCCACTTTGGTAAGGTGGAGCTTGTGTAACAGGTCCTTGTAGAGGCCGGAGTCCTTGTGCACCGTGTGGTATTGGCTGTAACCGTTGCTGGGGACGTGGGCAGGGCCGTCGCTGAACTGCACATCATTGCTGAACTGCACTTTTGAGACTGATTAAAAATACATTTTAAAAGTAAGCAACAGTGCAGTCAGTCATGGAGGAGAATGGATTACCATTATTATTCAGAATATTTTTATCCCATTTTTTAAACTTTTCCCAACCACTTTACCAAGGCAGCCAGAACCTCCCCATGACTCTCACTTACCATTGGTGTTGCCGTTCTCAGACTCCTTGCCTTCCTTGTTGTCGCCATCATCAGAATCTCCAATGCCAAAGGTTACCCTGCGCTCCTCTTGGGGAGGCTGGGAGAGGGTGTCTGGGTCAGCGGGAAAGGCAGGGGAGAGGGGTGAAGGGGGCTCCTCAGGGACAGGCTTCAGGATGGTACAGGGTACAGGCTCCTCCCTCAGTTCCCTCTTCTCCATCAGGGGGCTCTCAGAGGGGCTGGAAGACTTGATTTTTCCTGGAGGGGGAAGAGAGTGGAGTTAGACTGCCTGGGCCGAGTCCAAACACGAATACGGTACAGTGAGGGAATATGAGACGGCACATTTGGTTCTTATACACCTCAACATTTAAGATTTACACAATAATTCAAATCAAAGGTTATTTGTCACATAGGTGTTTAGCAGTTGTTATTGCGGGTGTATTGAAATGCTTGCGAATTGCATAACCAGCTGAGAAAAAACAATAGCAGCTGCCCTAGTTACTATAGGGGTAAACGCATTCAAATTTGAGGGAGCCAAAGTGTTCATAAGTGCAGGTAAAAAGGGCTAATGACTGTTCTTATTTGAGCATATTTACATTGTGCTATCGATTAAAACCTTTACATGTAGGCATATGTAGATAAGGTCTGAAAGTGGATGTATCCTGCATGACTTTTTGTTTGCGGTTTCAGATACTCAATGCAAACATATGTCCACCGCGTGAGTCCTAAGAACGGTTTGGTCTGCTACCTAGCCAGTTGACCCGATTGCGTCATCCAAACGGGTTAGGACAGGAGTCGAGGCAGAGTTTATTTTCGACTTCAGCCACGTCAGTCGAGATCACCTGCACAGTCTTAACCCTGTGATTCAGTGCCAACTTCACGTCAATACCTTAAGTCAACCCATGGCTATTCTAGTCGAGGTAAAGGCCAATGAGTCGATCACTATGACCCAATTAAGCGCCTCTATTTAGTGGAATAGGACCCTACCAGACAGATCTATCATGGATATACAGATGTACACCAGAAGCCCCACCAATGGCCCCTTATAGTAAAGTTAAGATAATACAGACTATATTAAAATCTAACTTTTCACTTTTGTACCCATTCAAATAAAAGGGAGGCTATTTAAGAAACTTTTCCATCCTGGATTTCAGATCATGTGATAAGACTCCTTTTCACTATTAAGAGACAGGTCTACTTTTGACCAGAACAATTATCTTCCTGCATTTTGAGCTAATTGTCAATTCAATGTGGATTTGTATTAAAAGATCAAACTTGAGAACTTCCAAGACAAGCCAGCACACAGAATTAATGTGTAAAACATCAACATGCCTGCAGCCCTGAATCTATTTGCTGGATTAAACCCTTGGCATGAATGGTTGAGGCCACACACATGCAGTATTAATCCCTATGACACTTTTAGTGCCCAATGTAAGGCATCAAGCTAACAGCACCCAATCAAAACGTATTTTCCAGGTGAGACCATGGAATGAGTACCTCAAATTCTCTATCTAATAAAACCCTAAATGATCAACTTTATAAGAGGTGTGCCAAACTGAAGGGGAAATTAAATTGACTTACCTTCAATCTTCTTCTTGAGGCGTGGGCAGACGATGAACCAGACCAACAGGGCGGTCAGCACACCACAGGCCAAAGAGATGAGCAGTGTGCCCCACCATGGGATCTTGTCAAATCCAAGCACTGGAGTGACACAGAGGGGGGGGGGGGGGGGGGGGGGAATAGAGAGGAAAGATCGTTTTGAAAAACAAGGCAACATGTGCTACAGTTCTAAAGGTTTACAGTAGAAGACCGTAGGTATTCAGACTAATATTTTATCTGGACCTGGGGCCTCACCTATAGTTGGTAGAATTACAGTAGCACATTCTTATTATAAATATTCACAATACAAAATATTTCTATATTATACAATATCAACCATAACACAGTAAATAATATAATTCAATAGGATAACAAATTAACATACTGAGTACAGAGAAAAACATTTAAGAGGGTAAAATGCTAGAACGCTCATTTGGACATCTATTCATTGCACATGGTCATATTTCCAGGGAAAATGTTAGTATTACCTCAAACACACCTTCACCACTAGCTACAAGGATGGGCCACAGCAAGTGGCAAATGTCCCAGTTAAATATGGCACGTTAGTGTGCCCATAGATCTGAACAGTTACGCAATGTCGTGGGGTGAGAAAAGCATGTGAATGACGAGGGATGTCGCAGTGACATGGACAGGGAGTGCCTTAAAAGGCTAGGTGAGAGGACTTAAATAAAAGGAGCAGACTTTTTTTTTTTTTTTTTACAGTGTCCGCTGTAGCATAAAATACATCTGTGTGCCAAGACTGCGGTAGTGTTTGTGGGGGTGCCAACACGGTCTTGTGTGTGCTGCTGGCAGGGAAAAGGACCACTACAGATTTCCCTGGGGGAACAGCAGCAAGCGACATGTCGGAGAGTCAGCAACATGGTCAGAGTAAAAAACTAAAGTGCTGCTCGAAAATTAAAGCTTCACGTTTGCGGTAACCTTGACCACACGTAAAAAAATAAATAGAAAAAGCCAAACTGTAGGCTGGGATGTGAAAAACTAAAGGAAATGGAAGGCCAGGGCCCGAGATAACGTGTCTCGTTGTGGTGTTCATTAAAGAGCAGAGTCCATCATGCTCTCTCCTGTGTAGTCTGTACTGACTCATTCTCACATGCTGCAGGCCGTGGCACATGAGCAATGAGTATTTAGTTACGCAACAAACTCACCCCCTCCGGGAGGGGAGAGGCAGAGGAGGAGTGGAAATGGCAAGGGGGGGCGTTAGAATGTTTTTCTTCTAAGAACAGCGGAGGCTTCTTCCATTAGACTAGTCTAGAATGACTCAGTGGCTGTGTTGACAGCCCAAAACAGGTGCGGCCGGTAGACATTTGTGTGGGGTAGGAGGGGGTGAGGGGTGGCTGGTGCCAAATTAACAGTGGGCAAAAATAAGTGCCCCCTAAAGAGGAGAATGGGGGGGGGGGGGGGCTAGCAACGGGCCAGTCATAATAAACACACCCACAAAAAGGGGCGAGTCTACACCACAGACTTCCAGTGGGATGAATGATGGAGGTCACAGGAAGTGGAATTAAAAAAATCTCTGCTCGGTTCCAAACCACTCCCTTGTAAACCTCTGCATCCCGTGGCCTACATTACACAATAACATGGTCTGTCATTTTTTCCCCCAAGAGCGGTTGAGCCCCAGCCCTCATGATCGTTAAATGACCAATTGTATAGTTAGGATGGGTGGCGTCGGCCAATTATCCTCTTTATGGTCCCAGTCTGTAACGCCTACTACTAGTAGCGTAAACAGAATGTTGATAAACTAAAAACAGAATAAAAAAGCTCAACTTTTCCTAACTGAACGAACATAAAGTAGGCTACAAACTATTTCAGTTGCATTAAGCGTTGCTTGCCTATCAGAGTCTATCATGTTCTAAAATCAGTAATTTTAAGGGCCTTATACCACAGAAAACGATAAACTCATTTCTCAATTGGCATATACTCCGGTAATGAGCTGGTGTCCACTTATTGAGCCCCACCAAAAAGTTAAATTTGTGCAAACAGGCAATGTGCCTTCTTATCAAGATGTACCATTCAGACATTTAGAGACAGTCGTATTCTGGCATGTAGTGTATTCTGAGTCACAGCTCAGTTTAATAAACCCATTCTTCTCGGCTGTGCCACTGATCAGTCGTTTCTACTTTCCCGATTGTTTAGTGTCCCCTAAACAAACAAGCCACCCACTGTCTCTTTTTCAAAGGGGAACCGAAGCAGAAAATTAGCATTCTGGCTAAAGCATACTGAAATACCGGGACATGGGGGTGTCCACTGTTTGAAAGTGCACAGTTTGTAGTGAAGGCCAGGCAGGTTATCCAAGTAAGTGAAGAAATGATTTGATTCTCTAACTAGAGGGGACCAATATTTGCTTGGTTGGTTCAACAAATCAAATGTAGGCTAAATGTTGACATGGTCATAAATTGGTGACAGACCTTTCCTCTGTTGGCAAAGCCTTCAACTGTACAGCTTCCTAATCACTAAATAGAGCTGTGCTAAAATAAGTTGGGGTGATTTACAAGGTGTGGACCGCCAAGGCCTCTTCTGTAAATTATCCACTCTTGAGTTACATTCATTTTTCACCCATTCCAACTGAGGTCTCTGGCACTAGGATCTGATATATTGTGTATAGGAACACGCTTGCGGGATTGCCACGTTAAAGTTAAACCAAAGGAACAGAGTCCTAAAACAGGAGACAAAATGTACAGTTCTCAGTCTTGACTCCGCCTCCATCGTCACCCATTGAATTTAAAAAGGGGCTGTATTAGACTAGCAGATCAGTCACCGCTATACTACTGTTATACAACTCTAGAACCAAATGCAGCCAAAACACACAAAAAATGGTGGTGCAATCCATTACTTATCCTGTGATTTCTGTGGTTTAAAAGACATCCTGATGAGAGGACAGTTGAAATGTGTTCTGAAATAGTATAACCCATTTGGATACATTGCACCTGAATGAACTGTGCAAGAAAAGGAAAGTGGGGGAAGGGGCTAATCATGGACTCCTGTCTTGTTTTGAATTCTTAATCCAGGCACTTATAACATGAGGAAGTGACTGACTAAGTGTGGCTAAAGATCAGAACTAGCCTCGTAATAAGCCAGCTCCAGTTACAGGCAGTGGCCAGAGTCTAAAAGTGTGCCAGTATGTGTAAAGACACGTCCTCCTCAGCGCGTGTGAATACAGTAGGCCTACATGTCATTATGTCATATCTGGTTCTCCCATTAATCACTCCCTGAGCTCTTCTCAGTTGTGTTGAAATGTATTGAGCTGGATTCCTGGAATGCAATCTCTGTATGGAACTTCATGTGAGGTGCCCCAGAGTAAAAGGTCCCCATGTACAGTACACTCACGTGTAGGTGTGAGTGACAACAGTACATTATGTGACTGAGTGCATGTGGTCTCCTCTGAGTGAGTGTGCTGATGTGCGTATATACACATCAAGTCATACTCTGGCCTGTAGCCTTCATTTAATGGCCCAGGCCAGTTGAATTCTTGAACTGTTCGGTCCTGTAGGTAGAAGAAAACAAGGAGCAAAAGTGGCTCATTTAATAAGAGTTTCAAAACTAAAAAGTTAACAACAATATAGCAGACCTTAATAATCGCAGTGCTCTCAATGAGGGCCCTATAAAAATCGTTTCTCTTCTTCTCCAGGTTTCTGTTTTTCGCTCCCATAAATCACCTTTTTTAATAGAAAAAACTAAATTGGATATTGTAAGTCCACACCAATGCTTAAACCACATCAGGATATCACTTTTGAGGTCTGGGGGGGGGGGGGGGGGGTCTAAGAAATGTGGGTGTAGTTACACTTTAATGCAAATGTGCACCAGCTAGAGACTTGTTTGGTTAGCTGTGTTTCTGTTGCGCTCGTGTGATTGCAGGGTTTACAAAACAAACGGCCAATGGATTGACACAAATAATAATGATCTCATTCTGCCAGGTAGGCATAGGCTACTTAGTAGCTAACATTTAATTGAGAACGTTTTTGGGAAAGTCGTTCCATCTACCAACAGACGGTTATCATTAGCATTATCGCTAACAGGTACACATAGTGTAGACCAGACATGTACAACACACAGACGGGGGCATTCCTGTGCCGTTTCAGAAAGTTGCAGGAAAATACAAAATCACTGATGCTTTTTGTTCATGTCTTATTATTAACTTGGGCAAATTAATGAATGTTCTAATAAGTTTAATACATTATTTATGTATTCCATTTTAATGTCTGGATTCCTTCCGAAAAACAGATTTTATAGGGCCCTACTCAATGAGACTACTGACGGAGACAAAAGACGCCCAGCTGCAGAGTTAACATCCTCTTTACTTCCACTTTTCCTCCTCCATGTGGGAAAGGGACAGACATTGACATCAAGAATAAAAGAGAAATCCTATTTCCAGCTCCCTGTTGTGAAGTGCTCCTCTCTGTAATTTAATTCGGTCATGACCCACATAACCACATTCAAGAAAAGACCCAAAACACAACAGGTTAAAATAACAGGCCTTCTCCGAGAACAGTAAACATTCTGGTTCAGTCTTGAAAAAGTGTGGGTATCCGACTGGCTGAGGGAGCAGTTTATTTTAGGCTGTAGGCAGGCATGCATGGTGAAGGTAGACTGGGACAACGATACTCACTTGGAGCGCCAGTGAAGATGATGGAGAACAGGTTGATCATCATGGTGACAGCATAGAAGACAGGCAGGGCCTTCAGACCGTTGGGCACCGGGTCTTTCTACAAGGGGACAAACAGAAATGAGAAACACTATGCTCCCCATTGTACTGTCAGGTTACATTTTATGGCAGAATAGGAGGTGTGTCAGTACATTTTATCTAACATAAATGGCCTGTGAGATTACATGCAGAATAATACCCCTTTCCAAAGAACAAGGAGTGTCTTTATTCTATGTTTAATATAATGACCTTGTTATGATGTCTGGGACATCATCTATGGTCTGGCACAGACTACAACCATTTCCAACAGGAAGCATCATACAATTTAAGAACATCTAGATTTAGATAGAAGCAGATTTTAGTCAGCTTACCTTGTGCAAGATGAACATACGAACAAAGTAGAAAAGGACGCCTGACATGATGCCAGACAGAAGGGGGGAGAGAAACCAGGAGGCAACTGTGGAGATTACAAAAATTAGCATTGCACAGTGCTCTCAGGAAGAACACCAGACACTTGCATTACTCGTACAAAGGTGTCTGAATTAAACCATGCCACATAATAGAAGCTGTTCATTTTACTTTGACTATAGGGATCACTTCAAAGTAAGCTGTGGTCAATGGAAGCTGCTGACTCACCAATCCGAAGGAGTTCCAGCCACCTGACCCCCTGTTGACCTCTGGCCACCAGAGAGAAGCCAATGGTAGCACCCACAATGCAGTGGGTCCCTGAGATGGGCAGCTTGAGAAATGAGGCCACCAATTGCCATACCGCAGAACCTGAGAATCAGCATAAAAAGTCAAATTGAAAATGTGAACAGTTCCAGCACTATTTCAACATTACATCATAGTACAACCATACACAAGATGTCCAAATCGAAAGAAATAATTTGCTTACCTACAAAAGGGTATTATAATAATTTGTGTCACTCACCAAACATGGCACTGACAGAGCCAGCCATCAGCTCGTGTTCGGAGCCATTGTACATGCCCACGTCGATGATGCCCTTGCGGATGGTCTCGCTGACCTTTGCTCCAAGAAGCACAGATCCAACGGTCTCAAAGATAGTGGCCAGGATGCAGGCCTGCCGCAAGGTGACCACTCCAGAGCCCACTGCCGTGCCAAACGAGTTGGCCACATCATTGGCCCCCACAGAGAAGGCTAGGATGAAGGCGATGATAAAGCCAACTATGAGAAGCCACATGTAGTCTGTCAGTGGCCCATCAGTGACCTGGGCCATGATCCCCAGTGTGGTGCCCGCCAGGGTAAGAGTGGCAAGAGTTGTCGAAACCATTGTGCCTGATTGATTGCTCTAAAGATTGAGGTGTCACGATATAAGGGAATGTATATCAAAATAGATGTGATATTTGCTAGCAGCAAAATTAAACGAGGTATCAATGTGTGTATACAATTACTTCTCTTTGAAACCCTAACCCTCAAGGTTTTGAAGGTTAACTAAACTTACTGAGAGTTTATGTGTTGTCCTGACTGAACCACAATAAATTATGGAGAGGTAAAGTGTGATGTATTGCTATCGTGTAATTTTACTAGATTTGTTAGGGTTTCTTTGGCTTTGGGCAATCATACAGACTGAACAGACACGCATTGTTCAACAGTCACTGTAGGTGAATGGCAGAACATCCTGAAAGAGAAGAGGGAGAAATGTCTTCGTTATGTAACCATCCCTTCTTCCACCTTTACAAAGCTTTAGCAACAGTATGGTTCAGATCATTCATGGCTATACAATATTGAGTCAGAGGGGACCAGCTGCGGGTAAATTTATGATGGTCAAATCCTACCATGGCAAATACGGTTCAGCTATCTGAAAAAACAACTTGCATGACTCCACAAGTTTACCATTTTGCAACACTACTCAAAAGAGCAGTAGTAGCAATAGCTAACCTGGAGCCTGACCATATCCACTTATTCTTTATCGAAATGAAAGTGTGGCCAGGCCATTCAATAAGAAAGTCAGTGTGGAAAATTGCACCTTTTTTTTACGCCAACACTTTGCTCTGTCCACGGCATGAATACAACTAGTTACTTAGCAAAATATGAGCTGGTGAGCTACTAGGTATGCAATTGAGCAAACGTCCTTCCCAGAATGTATTGTGCAATGACTGAATGGGTACCCCTATAGATACAGGCTGGCTTGCCTGAAGACAATGCAATAAGGAAGCCATTTTGGGGGATGTCGCAAGAAGAGACTAACCAAAGGCAGCTAGACAACATAACAGAAATTGCCAACATACTCCTAGCCAACGTTGCAGAGAAATGTATACACGACGATGCAACATAACACTAGCCATCTAACGTTAGATAGTCAAGAATTCTCAACTCCACGATACCCCATAGAGTTGAATGCCGAGGCGTCGAGTGTAGGCTACCTCCGACTACATAGAGTCGGTATCTGTCGATACTTGTAGTAAAAAAATACATATAAAAAAAACGTATTTCATACGAAACTTGTACCCCTGTTCGCCCTGTGTAGTTTAGTCCTGCAATCCGTAGTTTTTGATACCTTTATTCTGTGACCTCTTAAATTGCGCCGTACAATGACTGGGCTGTTCATTCTGCGTTAAACAACGCCGGCTCCCCTTGGCGGATGGCGCGTAAAATGATATATTTGTTTGTTTTAGTCGTTATTTCTACACTTCATACAAAATACATGTGATGGGAACAATGTCAAACTGCCGTAAGCGTTTAACAATCTGTTAAACAATAGTGGCAGATTGTTAAACGCTATTGGCAGTTTGACATTGTTCCCATCACATGTATTTATTCACATGTATGTATTTTGTATTAAGTGTAGAAATAACGACTAAAACAAACATACATATACACACATCATTTTACGCGACATTCTTAATGGCTAGCTAACAGACCGATTGCGTCACCCAACGAAAATAATGCAACTACACAGGACAAACATAGGTAAAGTTAACTAACTACACGTTACTAATGAAATAATTTACATACAGGCTGGCTTGCCTAAAGTATTGACTGATACCGACTCGACTGTAGTCAGAGGTAGGCTAAAGTTACACTCCGCCAAAAAACGAATCGCCTCGGCACCCAACATCGCCGGGTATCCTGGAGTTGAGAATTATTGGCTAGACATTTAACAGGATGGGTAACATAGCTATAAAAAGTTGTGCATATGTTAAAGCTGCAGAGACATCTAGTTATAGCTACGACGCAGAGCACTTGTCATAATTCATTCAATCATGACTCGCACCAGAGCTCGCACCAACATGACCCGCAATGTCGAATGTTCATTACTACCTAACGTTAGCTATTGCCAGTCGTCTACCTAGCTCTGTTTACCAACGTAATTGTCAATCCCCGCCATATAAACTATCCTAGAAAGCCATGTTTCGTAATGGCTAGCTATCTTTTGTTAGCGACTCTTCATTATTATAAAATGAATGACATGACCTACTAGCTGCTAGATACAGTATAGCTTGGTAGCGGACTTCATAATCCTCACGATGTAGGGTCAATTTGACAGAACCATTTTTTGTTCGTTAGTTAGGAATAGGTTAACTATCATCACGATTGAACAAACGTTTGCTTAACTATCATCACGATTGAACAAACGTTTGCTAGCGTTAGCCGGCAAGTTATTGACAAAAATGGCAGTCACAGTAACGTAACCAACGTTACGAAATACGAGAAAACGTTAGTTACCAATTAAAACCGCAATATTTAGAAGAAAAAAAAAAGACAAGTTTAACTTACCACATGTTCGTTGTCAATGTTGAAGAAGACTAGGACATTTTTAGCCCGCGAATAACTTGTTCAGGTAGCGCACGCGGGATCAGGAAACAGACAAGTCACAGAAAACGATTCGTTTTAACTTAAAAATTATATATATATAACTATGTAAAGCAAAAAAATATATTAACGTACTCTTGCCGTTTAGTATGTTATATTCCTGTAAAAACCGAGTTTGATTGCGTCACGAGCCGTTATATCCGCATGTATAAATTTCGCCAGTAGAATGTCGGGTGCTTGCCTTTATGTAGAATCAGGGGGTGGGGCTTTGGTAACACCCTTCGTCATGCCCAGCCCCATCCTGAATACCTGTCAATCATCGAGCTACACTGTATCCTCATGTTTACATTTTAGTCATTTAGCAGACGCTCTTATCCAGTGCGACTTACAGTTAGTGAGTGTATACATTATTTTTATTTATATTATAAATTTTTTCATACTGGCCCCCCGTGGGAATCGAACCCACAACCCTGGCGTTGCAAACGCCATGCTCTACCAACTGAGCTACATCCCTGCCGGCCATTCCCCTCCCCTACCCTGGACGACGCTGGGCCAATTGTGCGCCGCCCCATGGGTCTCCCGGTCGCGGCCGGCTACGACAGAGCCATGAAGAGCCACACAACAGCACATTTGTCATCAATGAATCATGGTGCACCCGATTAGAGAACAATCACCCCATTAAAAGGTGGTAACCATGTGGCGTGTGGGATACCACATTCACCATATGAATGGTGTGATTGGTAAGATGTTTCCACCTTTTAATGGGTGATTGTTGTCTAATCGGGTGCACCGTGATTCATTGATGACAAATGTGCTGTTGTGTGGCTCTTCATGGCACCTTCCCACGCAATAAAGTGTAATGTTATAGATTGTACAAACTCAAAATGGGCAAGCACCACATTTTCCAATAGCATGTGGTAGGCCAAGTTGAACTAATTTCAAAATCACTGTTATGACCGCAGTGGAGTAGGCCTATCTTTTTCAAAATCACAAGATTTTCATGAAGACATGGAGGTTGGAAACAAAAATCTCACATCTGGACTCATCAGACCAAAGGACAGATTTCCACCGGTCTAATGTCCATTGCTCGTGTTTCTTGGGCCAAGCAAGTCTCTTCTTCATATTGGTGTCCTTTAGTAGTGGTTTCTTAGCAGCAATTCGACCATGAAGGCCTGATTCACAGTCTCCTCTGAACAGTTGATGTTGAGATATGTCTGTTACTTGAACTCTGTGAAGCATTTTTTTGGGTTGCAATTTCTGAGGCTAGTAACTCTAATGAACTTATCCTCTGCAGCAGAGGTAACTCTGGATCTTCCTTTCCATGAGAGCTAGTTTCATCATATCGCTTGATGGTTTTTGCGACTGCACTCGAAGAAACGTTCAAAGTTCTTGAAATGTTCCGTATTGACTGACCTTCATGTCTTAAAGTAATGATGGACAGTCGTTTCTCTTTGCTTATTTGAGCTGTTCTTGCCATAATATGAACTTGGTCTTTTACCAAATAGGGCTATCTTCTGTATACCACCCCTACCTTGTCACAACACAACTGATTGGCTCAAACGCATTAAGAAGGAAATAAATTCCACAAATTCACTTTTAAGAAGGCACACATGTTAATTGAAATGCATTCCAGGTGACTACCTCATGAAGCTGGTTGAGAGAATTCCAAGAGTGTGCAAAGCTGTCATCAAGGCAAAGGGTGGCTACTTTGAAGAATCTCAAATATAAAATATATTTTGATTTGTTTAACACTTTTTTGGTTACTGCATGATTCCATATGTGTTATTTCATAGTTTTGATGTCTTCACTATTATTCTACAATGTAGAAAATAGTACAAATAAAGAAAAACCCTTGAATGAGTAGGTGTGTCCAAACTTTTGACTGGTACTGTATATATATTTCTTAGGGGCTAGATCAGCTTCACTATTGCAGATAGATTGTAGCTTCCATCAATATAATTGTCTGCATCATTTCTAATCCCCCATATATATATTTATATATATATATATAAATATATATTTTTCTTTATTATTTTCCCCTAACCCTACCACCCCTCCCCTAATTGGAGTAAGCTAATGGACAACAACACTTAGGCTTCTATTTCCAGTTTATACATACTACATAAACTCTACGGACACAATGCATTTTACAATAAAAAATGAAAAATGTATGCACTCACTAAAAAACTGTAAGTCGCTCTGGATAAGAGCGTCTGCTAAATGACTAAAATGTAAAATGTACAATAGTTATCTTCTGTTTGTTTTTAATCCCATCCTTCAGCTACCCTCAACCCCTCTCATCTATCTCTTAACATAGCTGTCAATTTTTTGGTCCTTAAATGAAACTGGTATACTTTTTTATTTACCACAATTTTATTTATCACAATTTATCACTGCAATTTGATAGGCAGAGATTATTATGATTTCTCAATCAATTGTGATATGAGTTTTATAAAAATAGACAATTTTCCTTCTGGTTGATCTACATTGGAGTCACATCCCTTCTTTGTCGGCTTACATTTCAGCACAGACTAATATTCATTCAAATCTTACAGTATTTGTCGTGAAGTGTAGTGGGGAGGCTAAACTCAAATATCCACAATGATCGTTCATTTGATAAAAGCACAAAATTTGGCAGAGAGGTAGATGTACAAGATTCAGATTTTGGGCCATCACAGATTTGCCTCCTGGGGTCCCAGGAGTCATTCCTGTCAGTCGTGTGCTGTTTACTCCTGCATCAAAGTTAATATGGCATGCTGCTCCTTCCAGGATTTGTTTATTTATTTATTTTATTCAACCTTTAGTATGTGGGGATGTTCTGATTAGTGGTGTAGTAGAGGGTAAACGCACATAAACTCTGTTTATACACCTTTTTTTTTCTTTTGCGCAAGTGTTTACCCACCTATAGCGGAAAACTGCATCGAAAATATAGGGAGCGTTACCTTCAGGGATGCAAACTTGCCCCTTTTTGGCAATATTCGCCATTTTAATCTCAAAATAGGTAATCCGTGTGATTATCCCACTGTTTGCTCACAAACCTTACTTTCTCTGGTGGCTGTGTCATCATGCACTCCACGCAAAAAACGTTGTTCCTGACTGGGAAATTTGGAATCCAACTTCGAGGTAAGCAACCTGTGTTATATAAATAATGCCGCAGTTATAGTTGATAAGAAGAAAATTATAGATGCATGTACAGTGAGGGAAAAAAGTATTTGATCCCCTGCTGATTTTGTACGTTAGCCCACTGACAAATAACTGATCAGTCTATAATTTTAATGGTAGGTTTATTTGAACAGTGAGAGACAGAATAACAACCAAAAAATCCAGAAATACACACATCAAAAATGTTATAAATTGATTTGCATTTTAATGAGGGAAATAAGTATTTGACACCCTCTCAATCAGAAAGATTTCTGGCTCTCAGGAGTCTTTTATACAGGTAACGAGCTGAGATTAGGAGCACACTCTTAAAGGGAGTGCTCCTAATCTCAGCTTGTTACCTGTATAAAAGACACATGTCCACAGAAGCAATCAATCAATCAGATTCCAACCCCTCCACCATGGCCAAGACCAAAGAGCTCTCCAAGGATGTCAGGGACAAGATTGTAACCTACACAAGGCTGGAATGGGCTACAAGACCATCACCAAGCAGCTTGGTGAGAAGGTGACAACAGTTGGTGTGATTATTCGCAAATGGAAGAAACACAAAAGAACTGTCAATCTCCCTCAGCCTGGAGCTCCATGCAAGATCTCACCTCGTGGAGTTGCAATGATCATGAGAATGGTGAGGAATCAGCTCAGAACTACACGGGAGGATCTTGTCAATGATCTCAAGGCAGCTGGGACCATAGTCACCAAGAAAACAATTGGTAACACACTATGCCGTGAAGGACTGAAATCCTGCAGCGCCCGCAAGGTCCCCCTGCTCAAGAAAGCACATATACAGGCCCGTCTGAAGTTTGCCAATGAACATCTGAATGATTCAGAGGAGAACTGGGTGAAAGTGTTGTGGTCAGATGAGACCAAAATCCAGCTCTTTGGCATCAACTCAACTTGCCGTGTTTGGAGGAGGAGGAATGCTGCCTATGACCCCAAGAACACCATCCCCACCGTCAAACATGGAGGTGGAAACATTATGCTTTGGGGGTGTTTTTCTGCTAAGGGGACAGGACAACTTCACTGCATCAAAGGGACGATGGACGGGGCCATGTACCGTCAAATCTTGGGTGAGAACCTCCTACCCTCAGCCAGGGCATTGAAAATGGGTCGTGGATGGGTATTCCAGCATGACAATGACCCAAAACACACGGCCAAGGCAACAAAGGAGTGGCTCAAGAAGAAGCACATTAAGGTCCTGGAGTGGCCTAGCCTGTCTCCAGACCTTAATCCCATAGAAAATCTGTGGAGGGAGCTGAAGGTTCGAGTTGCCAAACGTCAGGCTCTAAACCTTAATGACTTGGAGAAGATCTGCAAAGAGGAGTGGGACAAAATCCCTCCTGAGATGTGTGCAAACCTGGTGGCCAACTACAAGAACCGTCTGACCTCTGTGATTGCCAACAAGGGTTTTGCCACCAAGTACAAAATCATGTTTTGCAGAGGGGTCAAATACGTATTTCCCTCATTAAAATGCAAATCAATTTATAACATTTTTGACATGCGTTTTATGGATTTTTGTTGTTGTTATTCTGTCTCCCACTGTTCAAATAAACCTACCATTAAAATTATAGACTGATCATGTCTTTATCAGTGGGAAACGTACAAAATCAGCAGGGGATCAAATACTTTTCCCCCTCACTGTATGTTTCAATAGTGAAAATTATTACACACAAAGATATTAACATTAGCTAGTTAACATTACCACCCTTCAATAAATAATGGTGTATGTTTCTCATATCGAAATTAATGACTGTTAAATCTGCAGCCTATCTCCACTGCGCTGTATCAGCCGAATGGACAGTGTCCTACACACTAAAGCAAGGCCACAAGATAGATAGGGTAATTCACCTATTACAAACAGCCTATGTGAATGCAGCCATACACACAGCTGTCTTACCAAAATAATGCAAACCAAATACTGAAAGTAGTAGCCTAGTTATTCATGCATGCAAACAAAAATACTGAATAGCAGTTTAGCTTAGAATATTGACACAACTGTGAATGCAAACAAATGAATGCAAACAGAACAAAACAGTGGTACCAAGTAGGCCAAGTAAACAAAATATCAGATTGATAAATGCATGACACAAATCTATATTTAGGCTAGTTACATTAACAGTAAACAAACACAGTAAACAAAAGGCGGATGGAGATCCAAATAACCAAAACATAGCCTACAGCCTATTACGGTGAGATGCCAAACAAATAAGCCTATAGGCCCGCTTCAGACATGGAAAATCCTGCCGTGCATGAGTCCTGCAACACATTGTGATATGGCACAATACACTTCTGTGGATTAAATTCGACCCACGTAATCCATTAAGCAATGCCAGCCTACCATAAACATGTTTCCAGAGTATTAAGATTGTTCAAATATGTATTATGTACTTGTTATTCTCTGAAAATACACAAATTATATGCACATTTTTGTCACCTTTTTGGACCCTCGCCAGTTTGCACCTCATTCACATTGAATGACAACCAACGTTTACCCACCTATTTTTTAACCACTACATTATTGGTTCTGATGGAATTTGATGGAAGACATTGGCACTGCGCTAGCTAAAGCGTGAGCATAGCACATGCTGCAAATATTGTGCATCGTCAAATGTTCCCCTCTGCTTTCCCAGACAGGGATGTCAAGAAAAATCTGTGCTACCCCTACTGCTTTCCATTGTAAACATGGTTCTCCAGCCTTCCAAGTCAGATCTTATCATAACAGTCTGACCAATATGTAATTTTGTAATTTGGGTGAACCAGTGAACTATTAATATGTAAATATTTTAATTATACACAAATCTTACACAAATCTATCTGTGCCAAAATGAACAATTATTATGCTTAACCAATAGCCACCTCACTAGTTTCAAAGTAGTCAGCTACTTTCCTTTGTAGTGTAGTTTAGCTACTCTCATATCAAGGATAGCTGTTCACCCTAGTTCACCCCAAAAAAGTATGATATTATAAGAACCTAGATGTATTCTCTTTTGTATGGCCAAAGTCCTATAGCTTGTGTACATAATTGCATTAGAGCAGTAGAGTGAAATCATTGACAATATTTGTTTAGTGATTAAACTGTACTGTGTTTTTCATTTAGCATTACTTCCTAGCTATTGCAACTGTGCATTAGCATGGGATCCTTGGGACGTCCCAACTCGTTATCCCATTGAAGTTGAAATGTAAAATGGTTAAGGGTTAAGGTTAGGGTTATGTAAGGATTATGGTTAATAAGGTTAGGGTTAGGGTAAGGTTCAGTGTTGGGGAAGCTACTCTGAAAATATAGTTTACCAAGCTACCAATTACTTCACACTGGAAGAAGGTAACCTTAACAGCGTTGGGGAGTACGAGTAGTGAACTATGTAGTTCAATTAGTAATTTAACTACATTTTGCAGTAACTTGGTGGTAGTTGAACTAAATTCAAATCTTGGTAGTGTTTTCAGTAGTGAATTACTTTTTTGCTATGTAGCGGTGTAGTTAACTACTGGAACTACGCACTACTTTTTTTGCAAAAAGAAAATATGGGTGATGTAGGCAATAATTTCCTTTCTTTTTTGTCATCAGACCTGCCTAGTTCTCACTTGAAACATTGCTTTTGTGTAGCTTAAGGTAGGGACATCCCAAGGAGACTCCTTTCTTCTTCTTCTTCTTCTGTGGATTTTATCTGGCGGTTGGCAACCAACTTTAAGCTGCATTACCGTCACCAACTGGACTGGAGTGTGGACCAGAGACAGTGAAGGTCTAAATTCTACCCAATAATCTCGTCTCCCTAAGGAAACGAAATACATAATTAAATACTACTTCCCTTGAAGATTTCTCTCACATATTTCTGGCACTGAAATAGAACATGTTCCATTGTCGCCATCTCCTCCTGACAATGATCAGACCTCCCAGTCGGATGTTTCCCCACCACTTTCAATGTACTATTTAGCCTTGTGTGTCCCAGTCTCAGCCTTGTGACTACACTTTCCTCCCTTTTCTCTCGGCCTGAGGACCTCCCTGCCCCCATCTTTTCCTGGATCTTATACAGGTGTCTTCCCTTACTCTCCCTGTTCCATAACTCTTGCCACTTATTTTTTACCACTGTATTTATTAATCTCTTGGCTTCTGCTTTACTGATTGACAATTCCATCTCAACATTAGGATGTTTAAAAGCCTGCTTGGCAATAATATCCACTTCCTCATTCCCCTCTACTCCCACATGAGCTGGTACTCAGAGGAACATCACAAATACCCCCATCTGTACAAACACTGCAAAACCTCATAAAATACATCATGTCTGCTTTGAGACACACATGAATTTAAGCTCATCAGTGCTGCACTGGAGTCAGAGCAGATGACTGCTTCTTTTACCCTTTTTTTATTAAACCTTTATCGTGGTCCGTTACGGCAGAATGACGTCAGGATCCCAACTTAAAGTGCTAGTGGCTAATCAAAAGATTGACACCAACTACTGCAAATGAAATTGCACCGCAATGATAGGTGACCAATAAAAATTGTGTTATCCAAATAAGAAGGGTACTCTCGAGGAGGGGTGGGAACCCTATTGGTTCGTGCTATCCGGGATTGAACCCCATTGGCGTGAACAAGCTCTTGATCCGTTGTCACTAGTTACCACAGCCACAACGTCAAAATGGTCTATATCTTAAAAATTTATGAAAAAATAAATTAGCTTTTTGGTGTTATTTTAAAATTAGACATAAGGTTAGCAGTGTGGTTAAGATTACTATTAGGTTTAAAATCAGATTTTAAGAAGATAAATTGTAGAAATAGGCGGGGTTTAGCCGTGATTATGACTTTGTGGATGTGGTAACTAGGGACGGCCATCTTGTCGACTGACTTCGATGTGTAAGAAAAACGTGATGCTGGTTATTGCACGGAGTTGAAAGTACGATTAAAATTGTGAGTTAGTTAATAATTGAACCGAATGGACGAAAATTAAAAACAATAGAGGTTTATACGACTATTCACAAACTGTACATTATGCCTGCTGTCGCTCAAATACCATCGGTTCCATGGTACGTTAGATAGCTAGTGCTCTTGTCTTGCGTAGTTTAGCTAACGTTAGCTAGCAAGCTAATGTCAAATACAGTTTGAGACCTGGGTTGATACTTTGTTGTCATCTCTTAGGCCTTTAAGTTAACAACCTAGTTACATAACCACCTAACGGTAGAGCAATCTGCATTTTTAGCAGTGTTTGCTTCATATGTTATAAATGATTCGTAGTTAGTTAATTTGCCATCAATACTGACAGCGTCACAATTTACATTGTTGGTAACAAGTGTTCCAAATACACCACAAATCGCGCGTGATAGAACGTTAATTAATAAGCGTGCACTTGCTTTAATTAGCTGTCACTTCTAGTTGTCGAAGTTATTCTTGCACAACCAGCAACATGTTTCAGTCTATACCACGGCGGCCTATAAGAATCAGTGAAATCAGTGTATGTGCTGTTAGGCTTCAAAGCAGTTATACACTGAGACAGGGAATTGGCAAGAGTAATGGCAAATCTCAAACCACGACATGGATGGGACGACACATAGGCCTGTTGTTATCATGGCTCCAGAGATCGGGGGTGGGTACCAGTAAAAAAGTGGCGTCTGACAATAAGAAGCAAGACCTGCTATCCATTTTTGCCAACCATTGTAGCTTTGTGACAGGCCAGAGGCTTCGACGCGCTTACCAGATTGGAGAGCTTTACGCAAACCTGTACTCAGAGCGAACTAGGTGGACCCTGGTAGGAAGCATATGGCGTCGACTCCAGAGCAAGCACGCTTCCACTGCGAAGCTTGTGGCTGCACTGGCCGGTGTCTTCCTGTGGGAGGACGAGAAGGTTCGGGATGAAGAACTATACAGGTAGCGACATGCTGTTACTTAAAATTCTAGAGGAGAAACATATTGTTGTGCATATAATTGTACTCTGCCACATTGTACACTGTGATTTGCCCAGGTGTAGAAAGTTAGGCCTAGCTATGCTTCAACCTTGTCCTGTAATGTGAAAGCAGGCAGAATGCTTAGCATGTTTAGTGTTTAGAACCTGTATATACAGCAACACCAATACATGTTGCTTGTTGTGGTAAGAACTCTAACCCTGCTCACTTCCAAAGGTGTGGACTAGAGCTACAAGCTTTGGAGACAGTGAGGAATCTGAGTGCATCCTCAGAGAAGGAGAAGGCTGCAGGGCAGGTGGAGACAGGCTGGGAGGTTGTCATGGAGAAGAAGAATTTCAAAGTGTGGAGGAGGCCAATTGAGGGAAGCCATATGTGTGAATACAGAGGTCAGCCTGCATTATCACACATCTTTGTTGACACCCAGAACATGCAGTAAACCTTTTCTTTGTGAATATATGGTATTTCATCAACCCATTGATGTAGATCTTCTCTTTTTGCCATGATCATCATCTACAGTACTAGTCAAAAGTTTGGACACACCTACTAATTCCAGGGTTTTTCTTTATTTTTACTATTTTCTACATTGTAGAATAATAGTGAAGACATCAAAACTATGAAATAACACAAATGGAATCATGTAGTAACAAGGTAGGGGTGGTATACAGAAGATAGCTCTATTTGGTAAAAGACCAAGTCCATATTATGGCAACAACAGCTCAAATAAGCAAAGCGAAACGACAGTCCATCATTACTTTAAGACATGAAGGTCAGTCAATACGGAACATTTCAAGAACTTTGAATGTTTCTTCAAGTGCAGTCGCAAAAACCATCAAGCGCTATGATGAAACTGGCTCTCATGAGGACCGCCACAGGAATGGAAGACCCAGAGTTACCTCTGCTGCAGAGGATAAGTTCATTAGAGTTACCAGCCTCAGAAATTGCAGCCCAAATAAATGCTTCATGGAGTCACAGACACATCTCAACATCAACTGTTCAGAGGGGAATCAGGCCTTCATGGTCAAATTGCTGCAAAGAAACCACTACTAAAGGACACCAATAATAAGAAGAGACCTGCTTGGGCCAAGAAACATGAGCAATGGACATTAGAGCGGTGGAAATTTGTCCTTTGGTCTGATGAGTCGAAATTTGAGATTTTTTGTTCCAACCGCCGTGTCTTTGTGAAACGTGGTGTGGGTTAACGGATTATCTCCGCATGTGTAGTTGCCACCGTAAAGCATGGAGGAGGAGGTGTTATGTTGTGGGGGTGCTTTGCTGGTGACACTGTCTGTGATTTATTTAGAATTCAAGGCACACTTAACCAGCATGGCTACCACAGCATTCTGCAGCGATACGCCATCCTATCTGGTTTGGGCTTCGTGGGACTATCATTTGTTTTTCAACAGGACAATGACCCAACACACCTCTGGGCTGTGTAAGGGCTATTTGACCAAGAAGGAGAGTGATGGAGTGCTGCATCAATGACCTGGCCTCCACAATCCCCCGACCTCAACCCAATTGGGATGGTTTGGGATGAGTCGGACCGCAGAGTGAAGGAAAAGCAGCCAACAAGTGCTCAGCATATGTGGGAACTCCTTCAAGACTGTTGGAAAATCATTCCAGGTGAAGCTGGTTGAGAGCATGCCAAGAGTGTGCAAAGCTGTCAAGGCAAAGGGTGGCTATTTTGAAGAATCTCAAATATAAAATACATTTTGATTTAACACTTTTTGGGTTACTACATGATTCCATATGTGTTATTTCATAGTTTTGATATCTTCACTATTATTCTACAATGTAGAAAATAGTACAAATAAAGAAAAACCCTTGAATGAGTAGGTGTGTCCAAACTTTTGACTGGTACTGTATATATATTTCTTAGGGGCTAGATCAGCTTCAATATTGCAGATAGGTTGTAGCTTCCATCAATATAAATGAGTAGGTGTGTCCAAACGTTTGACTGGTAGTGTATATGGATGATGTAATAAAGGCTTTACTTTTTTTTCTTTAGACCAGCCTCTCTGGTATTATTTATAATTTATTTAGTGTTTACACTGTTCCAAATTGTCAGAAACTATATTTACAGTGAGGGAAAAAAGTATTTGATTTGTTTGCCCACTGACAAAGACATTATCAGTCTATAATTTTAATGGTAGGTTAATTTGAACAGTGAGAGACAGAATAACAAAGAAATCCAGAAAAACGCATGTCAAAAATGTTATAAGTTAATTTGCATTTTAATGAGGGAAATAAGTATTTGACCCCCTCTCAATCAGAAAGATTTCTGGCTCCCAGGTGTCTTTTATACAGGTAACGAGCTGAGATTAGGAGCGCTCCTAATCCCAGTTTGTTACCTGTATAAAAGACACCTGTCCAAAGAAGCAATCAATCAATCAGATTCCAAACTCTCCACCATGGCCAAGACCAAATAGCTCTCCAAGGATGTCAGGGACAAGATTGTAGACCTACACAAGGCTGGAATGGGCTACAAGACCATCGCCAAACAGCTTGGTGAGAAGGTGACAACAGTTGGTGTGATTATTCGCAAATGGAAGAAACACAAAATAACTGTCAATCTCCCTCTGCCTGGGGCTCCATGCAAGATCTCACCTCGTGGAGTTGCAATGATCATGAGAACGGTGAGGAATCAGCCCAGAACTACACGGGAGGATCTTGTCAATGATCTCAAGGCAGCTGGGACCATAGTCACCAAGAAAACAATTAGTAACACACTATGCCGGGAAGGACTGAAATCCAGCAGCGCCCGCAATGTCCCCCTGCTCAAGAAAGCACATATACAGGCCCGTCTGAAGTTTGCCAATGAACATCTGAATGATTCAGAGGAGAACTGGGTGAAAGTGATGTGGTCAGATGAGACCAAAATCGAGCTCTTTGGTATCAACTCAACTCGCCGTGTTTGGAGGAGGAGGAATGCTGCCTATGACCCCAAGAACACCATCCCCACCGTCAAACATGGAGGTCCTCTGTAGCTCAGCTGGTAGAGCACGGCGCTTGTAACGCCAAGGTAGTGGGTTCGATCCCCGGGACCACCCATACACAAAAAAAATGTATGCACGCATGACTGTAAGTCGCTTTGGATAAAAGCGTCTGCTAAATGGCATTATTATTATTATTATTATTATTATTATTATTATTATTATTATTATTATTATTATCAAACATGGAGGTGGAAACATTATGCTTTGGGGGTGTATTTCTGCTAAGGGGACAGGACAACTTAACCGCATCAAAGGGACGATGGACGGGGCCATGTACCGTCAAATGGGTCGTGAATCGGTATTCCAGCATGACAATGACCCAAAACACACGGCCAAGGCAACAAAGGAGTGGCTCAAGAAGAAGCACATTAAGGTCCTGGAGTGGCCTAGCCAGTCTCCAGACCTTAATCCCATAGAAAATCTGTGGAGGGAGCTGAAGGTTCGAGTTGCCAAACGTCAGCCTCGAAACCTTAATGACTTGGAGAAGATCTGCAAAGAGGAGTGGAACAAAATCCCTCCTGAGATGTGTGCAAACCTGGTGGCCAACTACAAGAAACGTCTGACCTCTGTGATTGCCAACAAGGGTTTTGCCACCAAGTACTAAGTCATGTTTTGCAGAGGGGTCAAATACTTATTTCCCTCATTAAAATGCAAATCACTTCATAACATTTTTGACATGCGTTTTTCTGGATTTTGTTGTTGTTATTCTGTCTCTCACTGTTCAAATAAACCTACCATTAAAATTATAGACTGATCATGTCTTTGTCATTGGGCAAACGTACAAAATCTGCAGGGGATCAAATACTTTTTTCCCTCACTGTATAATAATAACCCTCCTTTTTCCTTGATGATCATCATTATAATAATAAGTAATGTCACTATCATTAGTAGGTTGTGTATAGCAGCCTTGTATAACCACCATTGAGCTGTAGGCCTAAGAGCACATCCTGTTTTTTCTTTATACCGTAACTTACTTAGGCCTGTGTTTCAATAATTCGATAGGCTACTGTATCTATCAATCAATCAATACTTTTTTCGTTCATGTCATCGCACAGCATACGAGTCATTCATGATTTGAATTGCAGTCAAGTATTTTCGTTTTTAAATAAAATAACAAAGTGACCATTGAATAATTAGCGTAAACAATAAATGGTCCCAAACTGTTCCATTTCGGAAATTGCATTCACGAATGAATGCAACTGTTTTTAGTCTTTGCTGTAATAAAGGATTTGCAAACAAACGTTACAACAGACTCTCTGGTACGCTTATTTAGTGTTGTTTACATTGTTCCAAACAGTCAGAAGTTATATTGTAATCTAACAGCACCTGTTTGGCAACCAGCGCTTGCTCCTTACCTACTTTTCCTTGATCTCCAGTATTTTCCACAAATGGTCAAATTTATTCCACACATCTGATTTCCCCTTTTACCTCCTGAGCAACCAGGAAACATTCCCCCATTTCGAGTTTATTTGTCACGTCATCTGCATCCATTTTGCTGTTACAGTGTTCAGAATTTGCTATAACCAATTTATTAATGTGATTATGATATGCTATAGGTCAGACCCTATTGGTCACGTGCATGCGATGCATACATGTGTCACGTAAAGCGCATGGGTTGAGGGAATAGGGAATGTTTTTCCTAAACAAATTAGGGATTTCAGTAACTACTTTTCAGTCAGAAATGGCTGTAATTATGTTGCAGCTTCAGCAACACGGACTGTGCGATACACACTGTTGATGTTCTGTGATGGTCGCTGCACCATGGAGGAGAGAGACAACGGGTGCTAGTCACAGTCACTCGCTGTCCTCTTTTTTTTAACACAACGCAGCAAGTCTGAGCCCGGCCCAGCACAATCAAATCAATTGTGGTCGGACTCCCTCTAGTCATTTGTGTGTCTTCATTATTTCATCAAACAGTTCGCTTAAAGCATCAGACAAGCTCAGTGCATATACAGTGCATTCGGAAAGTATTCAGCCCCCTTGACTTTTTCCAAATTTTGTTACGTTACAGCCTTATTCTAAAATTGATTAAATCTTATTTTTGTAGCAATTTACACACAATATTCCATAATGACAAAGCGAAAACATGTTTTTAGAAATTTTTGCAAATGTATTAAAAATAAAAAACTGAAATACCTTAATTACATACAGTGAGGGGAAAAAAGTATTTGGTCCTCTGCTGAATTTGTACGTTTGCCCACTGACAAATAAATGATCAGTCTATAATTTTAATGGTAGGTTTATTTGAACAGTGAGAGACAGAATAACAACAACAAAATCCAGAAAAACGCATGTCAAAAATGTTATATAAATTGATTTGCATTTTAATGAGGGAAATAAGTATTTGACGCCCTCTCAATCAGAAAGATTTCTGGCTCCCAGGTGTCTTTTATACAGGTAACGAGCTGAGATTAGGAGCACACTCTTAAAGGGAGTGCTCCTAATCTCAGCTTGTTACCTGTATAAAAGACACCTGTCCACAGAAGCAATCAATCAGATTCCAAACTCTCCACCATGGCCAAGACCAAAGAGCTCTCCAAGGATGTCAGGGACAAGATTGTAGACCTACACAAGGCTGGAATGGGCTACAAGACCATCGCCAAGCAGCTTGGTGAGAAGGTGACAACAGTTGGTGCGATTATTCGTAAATGGAAGAAATACAAAATAACTGTCAATCTCCCTCGGCCTGGGGCTCCATGCAAGATATCACCTCGTGGAGTTGCAATGATCATGAGAATGGTGAGGAATCAGCCCAGAACTACACGGGAGGATCTTGTCAATGATCTCAAGGCAGCTGGGACCATAGTCACCAAGAAAACAATTGGTAACACACTACGCCGTGAAGGACTGAAATCCTGCAGTGCCCGCAAGGTCCCCCTGCTCAAGAAAGCACATATACAGGGCCGTCTGAAGTTTGCCAATGAACATCTGAATGATTCAGAGGAGAACTGGGTGAAAGTGTTGTGGTCAGATGAGACCAAAATGGAGCTCTTTGGCATCAACTCAACTCGCTGTGTTTGGAGGAGGAGGAATGCTGCCTATGACCCCAAGAACACCATCCCCACTGTCAAACATGGAGGTGGAAACATTATGCTTTGGGGGTGTTTTTCTGCTAAGGGGACAGGACAACTTTACCGCATCAAAGGGAAGATGGACGGGGCCATGTACCGTAAAATCTTGGGTGAGAACCTCCTTCCCTCAGCCAGGGCATTGAAAATGGGTCGTGGATGGGTATTCCAGCATGACAATGACCCAAAACACACGGCCAAGTCAACAAAGGAGTGGCTAAAGAAGAAGCACATTAAGGTCCTGGAGTGGCCTAGCCAGTCTCCAGACCTTAATCCCATAGAACATCTATGGAGGGAGCTGAAGGTTGGAGTTGCCAAACGTCATCCTCGAAACCTTAATGACTTCGAGAAGATCTGCAAAGAGGAGTAGGACAAAATCTCTCCTGAGATGTGTGCAAACCTGGTGGCCAACTACAAGAAACATCTGACCTCTGTGATTGCCAACAAGGGTTTTGCCACCAAGTACTAAGTCATGTTTTGCAGAGGGGTCAAATAATTATTTCCCTCATTAAAATGAAAATCAATTTATAAAATTTTTGACATGCGTTTCTCAGGATTTTTTTCGTTGTTATTCTGTCTCTCACTGTTTAAATAAACCTACCATTAAAATTATAGATGGATCATTTCTTTGTCAGTGGGCAAACGTACAAAATCAGCAGGGGATCAAATACTTTTTTCCCTCACTGTATGTACTGTATTCTATACTATTCTACAGTATCTTAGTCACTTTAATAATGTTTACATATCTTGCATTACTCATGTCATATGTATATGCTGTATTCTATACTATTCTACTGTATCTTAGTCCATGCCGCTCTGACATCGCTCGTCCATATGTATATATTCTTAATTCATTCCTTACTTAGATTTGTGTGTATTGGGTATATGTTGTGAAATTGTTAGATATTACTGCACTGTCGGAGCTAGAAGCACAAGCAGTTCGCTACACCAGCAATAACATCTGCTAAACACGTGTATGGGACCAACAAGATTTGATGTGTCTATATATGGAAAAATACACGTTTAAAAATGTTGACCAATCGATTGGTCGAAAGAACAGATGTCTTTTGGTCGACCAAGATTTTTTTTTTAGTCGGGGACAGCCCTAGTGTCAGCATTAAGACCCCTTTCCCTCTTATCTTTTCACAGTTTTGGGTTCTTATAACGATGTCACCCCCAGACAGTTCTTCAATGTTCAGGTACTAAGCTAGTTTCCTTTATGCTAACTGTGTAAATTGCTAAATTAGTTTTAAATGCAAAAAAAACACATTTGTGTGCAAGAGGAAGCTTTTTAGTGATTTTAATGAACCCGTTGAGAAATTATTCTGTAGAAAAATGTGTGGTGTCACTGTACAAGTGACTTGTGTGTAGATTCAGCACCAGATTCCTTGTATATTCATACGCTCCTCTTGCGTTTGAGTGTCTATGCCCATATTTAGCTCTTGTTGTTTTGTACATGTCTGTTTACCCAACTGTGCTTGGTGGAGTGTAAGGTTTTTGTACAAGTATGTAGCTCTATGTGTTGTATGTGTGTGCTATATTACACCTCTGCTCCTCTCTTGTCTCATGCTCTAACCTTTGCCCCAGTTGGACACAGAGTACAGGAAGAAGTGGGATGCTCTGGTTCTCAAGCTGGAGGTAGTGGACAGGGACGTCAACACCGGCTCAGAGGTTGTGCACTGGGCCACACATTTCCCTGTAAGTTTCCCCTGCCAACTCACACACTAGAAATGCGGAACTCGTGCTTATCATCAAAGTCATGCACTTGTAATATGCCTTCTCTCTGATGTTACAAAGTAACATCTGTAGACTGTTGTGAGTGCTGCATGTTCTTGCCTTGCTCATGATGTTCTCAATTTGAGTATTACAGATACTTGCAAGCATACAGTGTTGCAGGAGTTCCCAAACTATTTTGTCCCACGACCCCATTTTGATATCTAAAAAGTCTGCTGACCCCACCAAAGTGAAAAAAAATGATGTAATTAACATCCAATGTTTACTTTTTATTTGGGGCTATGGCAGTCAATTGAAAAACATTCAAACAGTATTTCTGATTGTCTTCTCTACTCACAATCATATACTTTTAATGTGGGGCAGTCAATTGCAAATTAGTCTGACATAATGTCTCTTATCTCACCACCACTGATGAGATGGGTGTGCTTGATGCATGTCGCGTCAGAGCTTCTCAAAGTCAGGGGGCGTAGTTGACAGTGCACACCTCATTTCTGCTGTCACATCCAAGCTGGATTGATATTTGGTTTTAATGCAGACGAGAGCACTGAATCCAGCTTCACACAGATATGAGCTGGCGAAGGGTAGACAACTGAGAACTCTGAAAAATACGAGGTGAAATCATGACGTCAGTGATCTTTAGGTCAGAAAGTCTGAGCTCTAGAAAGAGGCCCGAGTTCCTGAGTTGGAATTCTGAGTTGATGACCGTTCAAATATATATTTCCCAGTTGGAGCGCGTTTCTTTCAGAGTTCCCAGTTGTCTTGAACGCACTGAAATCGGAAGTCAGAGATTTCCGAGTTCCCAGTTGTTTGGAACGCGGCATTAATGCTCAGATGGAGACGGCAGGGTATTCCCTTTGAGTCGGGAACCAAAACTCCTCCGTAGTGATACGTGAATGTGTTGTCTGCAGCATTTGGTCACATGACAGCTCAATCAGCTGTTTGATTTGACTTACCGGCATTTCAGCTGAGCCAGGATCACAGTCAAACGGATTGGGAAGTAGGTCCGTCCCAATGTGCTCTTCCAAGGCAAAGAGTGGCTATTTTGAAGAACCTCAAATATAAAATCTATTTTCATTTAACTTTTTTGGTTACTACATAATTCCATATGTGTTATTTCATAGTTTTGATGTCTTCACTATTATTCTACAATGTAAAAATAAAGAAATCTTTGAATGAGTAGGTGTTCTAAAACTTTTGACCGTGTGTGTGTGTGTGAGGGGGGGGGGGGAAAGTATTTGATCCCCTACTGATTTTGTATGTTTGCCCACTGACAAAGAAATGATCAGTCTATCATTTTAATCATTTTATTTGAACAGTGAGAGACAGAATAACAACAAAATAATCTAGAAAAACGCATGTCAAAAATGTTATAAATTGATTTGCATTTTAATGAGGGAAATAAGTATTTGACCCCCTCTCAATCAGAAAGATTTCTGGCTCCCAGGTGTCTTTTTATACAGGTAACGAGCTGAGATTAGGAGCACACTCTTAAAGGGAGTGCTCCTAATCTCAGTTTGTTACCTGTATAAAAGACACCTGTCCACAGAAGCAATCAATCAATCAGATTCCAAACTCTCCACCATGGCCAAGACCAAAGAGCTCTCCAAGGATGTCAGGGACAAGATTGTAGACCTACACAAGGCTGGAATGGGCTACAAGACCATCGCCAAGCAGCTTGGTGAGAAGGTGACAACAGTTGGTGCGATTATTCGTAAATGGAAGAAATACAAACGAACTGTCAATCTCCCTCGGCCTGGGGCTCCATGCAAGATCTCACCTCGGAGTTGCAATGATCATGAGAACGGTGAGGAATCAGCCCAGAACTACACGGGAGGATCTTGTCAATGATCTCAAGGCAGCTGGGACCATAGTCACCAAGAAAACAATTGGTAACACACTACGCCGTGAAGGACTGAAATCCTGCAGCGCCCGCAAGGTCCCCCTGCTCAAGAAAGCACATATACATGCCCATCTGAAGTTTGCCAATGAACATCTCAATGATTCCGAGGAGAACTGGGTGAAAGTGTTGTGGTCAGATGAGACCAAAATGGAGCTCTTTGGCATCAACTCAACTCGCCGTGTTTGGAGGAGGAGGAATGCTGCCTATGACCCCAAGAACACCATCCCCACCGTCAAACATGTAGGTGGAAACATTATGCTTTGGGGGTGTTTTTCTGCTAAGGGGACAGGACAACTTCACCGCATCAAAGGGACGATGGACGGGCCATGTACCGTCAAATCTTGGGTGAGAACCTCCTTCCCTCAGCCAGGGCATTGAAAATGGGTCGTGGATGGGTATTCCAGCATGACAATGACCCAAAACACACGGCCAAGGCAACAAAGGAGTGGCTAAAGAAGAAGCACATTAAGGTCCTGGAGTGGCCTAGCCAGTCTCCAGACCTTAATCCCATAGAAAATCTGTGGAGGGAGCTGAAGGTTCGAGTTGCCAAACGTCAGCCTCGAAACCCTAATGACTTGGAAAAGATCTGCAAAGAGGAGTGGAACAAAATCCCTCCTGAGATGTGTGCAAACCTGGTGGCCAACTACAAGAAACGTACAAAGGGTTTTGCCACCAAGTACTAAGTCATGTTTTGCAGAGGGGTCAAATACTTATTTCCCTCATTTAAAATGCAAATCAATTTCAAAAATTTTTGACATGTGTTTTTCTGGATTTTGTTGTTGTTATTCTGTCTCTCACTGTTCAAATAAACCTACCATTAAAATTATAGACTGATCATTTCTTTGTCAGTGGGCAAACGTACAAAATCAGCAGGGGATAATACTTTTTTCCATCACTGTGTGTGTGTGTATATATATATATATATATATATATATATATATATATATATATATATATATATATATATATATATATATATATATATATATATATATATATATATATATACTGCTCAAAAAAATAAAGGGAACACTTAAACAACACAATGTAACTCCAAGTCAATCACACTTCTGTGAAATCAAACTGTCCACTTAGGAAGCAACACTGATTGACAATACATTTCACATGCTGTTGTGCAAATGGAATAGACAACAGGTGGAAATTATAGACAATTAGCAAGACAACCCCCAATAAAGGACTGGTTTTGCAGGTGGTGACCACAGACCACTTGTTTTGGTCACTTTTGAATGCTGGCTGTGCTTTCACTCTAGTGGTAGCATGAGACTGAGTCTACAACCCACACAAGTGGCTCAGGTAGTGCAGCTCATCCAGGATGGCACATCAATGCGAGCTGTGGCAAGAAGGTTTGCTGTGTCTTTCAGCGTAGTGTCCAGAGCATGGAGGCGCTACCAGGAGACAGGCCAGTACATCAGGAGACGTGGAGGAGGCCGTAGGAGGGCAACAACCCAGCAGCAGGACTGCTACCTCCGCCTTTGTGCAAGGAGGAGCAGGAGGAGCACTGCCAGAGCCCTGCAAAATGACCTCCAGCAGGCCACAAATGTGCATGTGTCTGCTCAAACGGTCAGAAACAGACTCCATGAGGGTGGTATGAGGGCCCGACGTCCACAGGTGGGGGTTGTGCTTACAGCCCAACACCGTGCAGGACGTTTGGCATTTGCCAGAGAACACCAAGATTGGCAAATTCGCCACTGGCGCACTGTGCTCTTCACAGATGAAAGCAGGTTCACACTGAGCGCGTGACAGAGTCTGGAGACGCCGTGGAGAACGTTCTGCTGCCTGCAACATCCTCCAGCATGACCGGTTTGGCGGTGGGTCAGTCATGGTGTGGGGTAGCATTTCTTTGGGGGGCCGCACAGCCCTCCATGTGCTCGCCAGAGGTAGCCTGACTGCCATTAGGTACCGAGATGAGATCCTCAGACCCCTTGTGAGACCATATGCTGGTGCGGTTGGCCCTGGGTTCCTCCTAATGTAAGACAATGCTAGACCTCATGTGGCTGGAGTGTGTCAGCAGTTCCTGCAAGAGGAAGGCATTGATGCTATGGACCGCCCGTTCCCCAGACCTGAATCCAATTGAGCACATCTGGGACATCATGTCTCGCTCCATCCACCAACGCCACGTTGCACCACAGACTGTCCAGGAGTTGGCGGATGCTTTAGTCCAGGTCTGGGAGGAGATCCCTCCGGAGACCATCCGCCACCTCATCAGGAGCATGCCCAGGCGTTGTTGGGAGGTCATACAGGCACGTGGAGGCCACACACACTACTGAGCCTCATTTTGACTTGTTTTAAGGACATTACATCAAAGTTGGATCAGCCTGTAGTGTGGTTTTCCACTTTAATTTTGAGGGTGACTCCAAATCCAGACCTCCATGGGTTGATAGATTTGATTTCCATTGATAATTTTTGTGATTTTGTTGTCAGCACATTCAACTATGTAAAGAAAAAAGTATTTAATAAGATTATTTCATTCATTCAGATCTAGGATGTGTTATTTTAGTGTTCCCTTAATTTTTTTGAGCAGTGTGTGTGTGTATATGTATATACAGTGGGGAGAACAAGTATTTGATACACTGCCAATTTTGCAGGTTTTCCTACTTACAAAGCATGTAGAGGTCTGTAATTTTTATCATAGGTACACTTCAACTGTGAGAGACGGAATCTAAAACAAAAATCTAGAAAATCACATTGTATGATTTTTAAGTAATTAAGTTGCATTTTATTGCATGACATAAGTATTTGATCACCTACCAACCAGTAAGAATTCCGGCTCTCACAGACCTGTTAGTTTTTCTTTAAGAAGCCCTCCTGTTCTCCACTCATTACCTGTATTAACTGCACCTGTTTGAACTCGTTACCTGTATAAAAGACACCTGTCCACACACTCAATCAAACAGACTCCAACCTCTCCACAATGGCCAAGACCAGAGAGCTGTGTAAGGACATCAGGAATAAAATGGTAGACCTGCACAAGGCTGGGATGGGCTACAGGACAATAGGCAAGCAGCTTGGTGAGAAGGCAACAACTCTTCGCGCAATTATTAGAAAATGGATGAAGTTCAAGATGACGGTCAATCACCCTCGGTCTCGGGCTCCATGCAAGATCTCACCTCGTGGGGCATCAATGATCATGAGGAAGGTGAGGGATCAGCCCAGAACTACACGGCAGGACCTGGTCAATGACCTGAAGAGAGCTGGGACAACAGTCTCAAAGAAAACCATTAGTAACACACTACGCCGTCATGGATTAAAATCCTGCAGCGCACGCAAGGTCCCCCTGCTCAAGCCAGCGCATGTCCAGGCCCGTCTGAAGTTTGCCAATGACCATCTGGATGATCCAGAGGAGGAATGGGAGAAGGTCATGTGGTCTGATGAGACAAAAATAGAGCTTTTTGGTCTAAACTCCACTCGCCGTGTTTGGAGGAAGAAGAAGGATGAGTACAACCCCAAGAACACCATCCCAACCGTGAAGCATGGAGGTGGAAACATCATTCTTTGGGGGACAGGACGACTGCACCGTATTGAGGGGAGGATGGATGGGGCCATGTATTGCGAGATCTTGGCCAACAACCTCCTTCCCTCAGTAAGAGCATTGAAGATGGGTCGTGGCTGGGTCTTCCAGCATGACAACGACCCGAAATACGCAGCCAGGGTAACTAAGGAGTGGCTCCGTATGAAGCATCTCAAGGTCCTGGAGTGGCCTAGCCAGTCTCCAGACCTGAACCCAATAGAAAATCTTTGGAGGGAGCTGAAAGTCCGTATTGCCCAGCGACAGCCCCGAAACCTGAAGGATCTGGAGAAGGTCTGTATGGAGGAGTGGGCGAAAATCCCTGCTGCAGTGTGTGCAAACCTGGTCAAGACCTACAGGAAACGTATGATCTCTGTAATTGCAAACAAAGGTTTCTGTACCAAATATTAAGTTCTGCTTTTCTGATGTATCAAATACTTATGTCATGCAATAAAATGCAAATTATTTACTTAAAAATCATACAATATGATTTTCTGGATTTTTGTTTTAGACTCCGTCTCTCACAGTTGAAGTGTACATATGATAAAAATTACAGACCTCTACATGCTTTGTAAGTAGGAAAACCTGCAAAATCGGCAGTGTATCAAATACTTGTTCTCCCCACTGTATATATATATATACACACACACACACACACACTACCTGGAAATTCTCCCGTGAACCCATTTTCATATCAGGTGACCCCACATGGGTCGTGACCCCTAGTTTGGGAACTGCTGCAGTATTGTATTTTATGAAGCGAAAGCGATGTTTCCCTGAAAAAGGGCTGTGTCGTAGGTCACAGATGGCAACAAGAGGTCATATCCTACATTTCTATTGTGTTTTTGATTTGTTGGATTATCTTCCCACAGTATCCCATGTACTCGAGGGATTATGTTTATGTTCGTCGCTACAATGTTGATATGGAGAATAATCTGATGGTCCTGATCTCCAGGTGAGGGTTGACTTCACGTAAAATAGTTCTATTGAAATACATATGTGCATTACATGAGGTCTTCTTTTCCTATCCTTTTAATTTGTATTCTCCCTCTTCTCCCTTCTATCCCTTTTTTTGTGCCATTTAGAGCGGTTCAGCATCCTGGAGTCCCAGAAACTCAGGACTACGTCAGAGTCCACTCATACCAGTCCAAGATGGTCATTCGCCCTCACAAGTCCTTTGATGAGGTGAATAGAGAGGGTATCATAAGACAACATAGATTATCATACGTCACCATAGGGTAACATTTTGTTCTATGCTTGTTAGATTACACTGTCTGACCTTGTCATGTCGTCCTGTCCTACAGAATGGCTTTGACTACCTTCTGACCTACAGCGACGACCCTCAGACCGCCTTTCCCCGCTACTGTGTGAGCTGGATGGTGTCCAGTGGTGAGCTCTCATTCTCCTGGTTTCTCTTCACTGAGCTTAATGATTATTCCCAAGTGTAAACTGGATGTAGTAATTGTTAGAATATCTAACAAAAGATTTGGGATATTTACAGGAACAGCCCTCCTTATTCAAATGGACTGCCATCTGTTCATAGTAAATGTACGTACTGTCCATACATGGTGTCAGATATTTCCCTGAAGCGACACAGCAGGAGTGCTTCACTGAAGGGCAGTACGGCACAAAAGGAACCATCAATTCCCGGTGATCTTTCCATCAAATGCAGCCACTAACTATGCAAAACTATTATATTGACCAGGGATAGTTTTTTTTTAAGCCTGCGGTAGCTGGGCTACAGTTATTGGCTGATTCTTCAACATGAACCACAACTTGATCTGCTGATATTGTAGTTCACTGCTTTGCTTCTTGGTCTGATTTACTTTTATCTGGATGGAGAGTCACCTTAGGTTAGGGTATTCAATCAAATTAAAATAAAAAAAGTAGGTCATTGAGGTCTGCAGTTTCCGCTGCCATCATATGAGTGTGGTTTGTACTCCCCAGTGGCGCAGTGGTCTAAGGCACTGCATCGCAGTGCTAGCTGTGCCACTAGAGATCCTGGTTCGAATCCAGGCTCTGTCGTAGCTGGCCGCGATGGGGCGGCGCACAATTGGCCCAGCGTCGTCCAGGGTAGGGGAGGGAATGGCCGGCAGGGATGTAGCTCAGTTGGTAGTGCATGGCGTTTGCAACGCCAGGGTTGTGGGTTCGATTCCCACGGGGGCCAGTATGATTTTGTAAATTTTTATAATGTATGCACTCACTAACTGTAAGTCGCTCTGGATAAGAGCGTCTGCTAAATGACTAAAAATGTAAATGTAAATGTTTGCCCCGTGGTTGTATGTTATCCTGGTCATCAGCTTTTGCCCTCCTCACTCATAGGTATGCCTGACTTTCTGGAGAAACTGCATACTGCAGCCCTGAGGGCTAAGAACCTGGAGGTAGGGATCTATGATTATGCCAGCGTCGTAAAGTCCAACGACACCAAGCACCAGCTCAGCCAGGACCGGCTTGGGGACAACACGCGCCCTGGGCACATCTACGCCTAAGGGACACTTTTTAGCAGGGGTGGGGAGAGTAACCTGCACCTGCTCGCATACAACAACCCTCAAAACACAAGCTTTTGGACACAATGGGTGACAGGATATCAAATGAAGCTTGAATATACATACGTTGAAGATATGCAGTACTCGTGCTATACTGTTGCTATTTGAGTGGTTATAATGGTGACCACGGTCATTTGGCTGACCAATAACCTTCATCCAAAATTCCATGACCGTCACAGCCCTATTGATAACATAATAGTCATGAGAAGCTTAAACGGTACCGACGAGCGTTTGAGCCCTATGGAGAAAATAATCCCCTTTTTCTGCCAGGAGAATTTCCATTGGAGCTTTCTGCCTTGAAACAATGGTGCTAGACAGCTAACATCCTGAGGGGAGAGGTGTCCATTATGCCTCCTTTTGCTAACTTGCTGCTGCACCAACTAGCGAGACTGCACCAAAAATACTACCCCTATAGAGATGATGTTGCCAAAGCATTGTTTCTCGCTCCATCCACCATGTCTACTAGTTTCTTCCAGCCACCTTGTTTGTGTTCCTTATTTGGCCACATCCACACTGAAATAGCTCGCTGTAAAAGCTTAGCTACATAAATACATACATACATAGTTATTTTATATAACAGAGAAAGAAGAACATCTATAAATAAACACGCTGTGATATCAGGAACTTAAGGAACATGCTTTGTAGCTGAATGCCCTGGCATATTGACTTCCACAGATGAGTGGATTTAAGGGCTCTTGTGGTCTCTTTTTCACGTTATGGGATTAGTGATGTTTTTCTCTGCAGAACTGAGGTTTCTCACTTCTTTGTCCGTTACGTCTTGTCTGTGTGAGTGTTTTAAACTGCCAGGTCACGTCACTTCTAACAGCCTTCTGAAGATTACCAGTGTCTTCCTGTCCACAAGGTGCCTTATGGCAACCGCAAAATCCTCTATGGGGCAAATGCTCTTGATGTTTTTTGTTTAATTTGCATTGCAGTTCCCCTCCACTCGACAATGTTATATATGCCCTGATCCAAAAATTATATAAAAAATAAGCATGTGTGTTCTTGTGCCACCTGACTATCTGCATTTCAATGGAATGGATATTTACATTATCCAGAGTGACTTAAATGACTTGCTCAAGGGCACATGGACAGATGTTTTTCACCTAGTCTGCTCGGGGATTTGAACCAGCGACCTTTCGGTTACTGGTCCAACACTCTTAACCGCTAGGCTACCTGCTGCCCCATGACGATGACAGAATAACTACATCATCCTGAGAACAAAGTTCAAAGTAAAGGAACAGACATTATTAAAACAGTGCTTGATAGTTTGCACCACAGGAAGATGTTTGTGTTACTGTACCTTCACAGTGAAAGTAGCCTAACTGTAGTAGTACAACACATTTTCTATTACTGATGAGCTTTGGAAGGCAAGTGTTTAGTAACATCATGTGCCCTTTGCATCCTTGTGTGTGTATGTCTAATATATTTAAAGTGTTCTTCAGTCTTTGATATATTAGCAATTTTTCTGACTCAGTAAGTTCCTTCTGATGGACAAAAGGGCATGAATGTGGGCTCTGTGCGATTAGATAAACACAACATGTGAATTCTCTATTTACAGCCTGACAATCTGGTACAATTGAATTAACACCCGTTTCTGTATTATATTTATTTTTTGTGTCTGTGTTACTGATATTGGTTAAATCAGGTATTTTTTTCCATTGAAAGTTTCATGAATTTATGGTTCCAGTATACAGTACATGCGTGACTGCAGTTTGTTGGTAGTTCACCAATACTGAGTTAGAAATGTACAAGTTCATTAAAAACTGTGGTGGAAAAAGTACCCAATTGTCATGCTTGAGTAAAAGTAAAAATACCTTTTTAATAGAAAATGACTCAAGTGAAAGTCACCCAGTAAAATACTACTTGACTAAAAGTCTAAAAGTATTTGGTTTTTAAATATACTTAAGTATCAGAAGTACATTTAATTGCTAAAATATACTTAAGTATCAAAAGGAAAATCCGCCAGATCAGACGGAGTAGGATGACCAGGGATGTTCTCTTGAAATTGACCATTTTCCTGTTTTGCTAAGCATTCAAAATGTAATGAGTACTTTTGGGTGTCAGGGAAAATGTATGGGGTAAAAAGTACATAATTTTCTTTAGGAATGTAGTGAAGTAAAAGTAAAACTAGTCAAATATAAATAGTAAAGTACAGATACCCCAAAAAACGACTTAAGTAAAAATATTTTAAAGTACTACTTAAGTACTTTACACCACTGATTCAAAATATGGCATTTAAATGTATTGAACTATGGTAAGGGTAATTTTGTTTAATTCCTTGGGTCCCACAATGGCTTGAAGTCAATGGGTATCTACTAACATGCTATAAGATAACCATAGACTTCCAGTCATTGTGCTAGTTACCATTAGCATTTGCTAGCAAACTCTAACTTCCTTCATACTGGACACAGAGACATAAAAATGATATCCACAAGTTCATCTGACTCTGGGGAAGTAGATACAGGGCCTTATTGCCAAAATCCCGAACCATCCCTTTAAAGTAACTTACTCCCATGAAGTCTGAAGATCGTTTGCCTACTCTTATCTTTGTGATAAACACACTTGTTTTCTGTCTGGGGGGGAAAAAATACTGTTCTGTCAGCAGTATTTAACTGTGTTTGATATGTTGTATGTGTAAGAGGAAATTAATTGCCTCTAATTGAGCTTTTGTTTTGAGATGGTCAGTTGTAGAGCTACTGTACGAGATGTATGCTGAGCAAAAGAAACTGTGGTTTCTATATTGAAATACTACTGTATGAGAATTGTTACTTTTTCTTTCTGGACACCTATATATCACCTCACCTTGGATATGATTTCCAGAAGTTGATTCCTTTTGAAATTGTGTAAAAGGAATTGATTGAAAAGAAAAGGAAAATCTAGTTAGTTGTCATTGTATGATTCCATGTTGAAATGGAGCAACTAATCAGATTCAATAAATCCATTTGAAATACATTATATTTTGCCTTTATCTTTGGTTACACTATAACTTTTATGAAAAAGCCTTTAGAAATGCATTGAAATGAAATGCTTAAATGTTAACAAGTAATGAATTACTAGGTTTTACAACGTATCATTGTCTAGCTCGCATGCTTTAGCTAGTGCAGTGCCATTGTCTTCATCAGCGCATCCTGTCCCTTTGGGCCCGCATAACAAGAATTTTACCTAGGATTCATTCCTTTCAGTTGTGTGCGGTTTACTCCTGCAATGCCAAGCTGCTCCTTCCTGGATGATGGCAACAAGAGATCATATCCTACATTTCTATTGTATTTTTGATTTGTTGGATTATCTTCCCACAGTATCCCATGTACTCGAGGGATTATGTTTATGTTCGTCGCTAAAATGTTGATATGGAGAATAATCTGATGGTCCTGATCTCCAGGTGAGGGTTGACTTCATGTAAAATAGTTATATTGAAATACACAGAACAAAAATATAAACGCAACATGTAAAGTGTTGGTCCCATGTTTCAAGAGCTGAAATAAAATATCGCAGAAATGTTACATGCACAAAAAGCATTTTTTCTCTAAAATTATATGTTAAATGTTTATATCCCTGTTAGTGAGCATTTCTCCTTTTCCAAAATAATCTAGCCACCTGACAGGTGTGGCATATCAAGAATCAGATTAAATAGCATGATCATTACACAGGTTCACCTTGTGCTGGGGACAATAAAAGGCCACTCTAAAATGTGCAGTTTTGTCACAGAACACAATGACACAGATGTCAAGTTTTGAGGGAGCGTGCAATTGGCATGCTGACTGCAGGAATGTCCACCCGTTGTTGCCAGAGAATGTAATGTTAATTTCTCTACCGTAAGCCGCCTCCAATGTCGTTTTAGAGAATTTGGCAGTATGTCCAACCGGCCTCACAGCCGCAGACCATGTGTAACCACGCCAGCCCAGGACCTCCACATCTGGCTTCTTCACCTGTGGGATTGTCTGAGAACAGCCAGCCGGACAGCTGATGAAACTGTGGGTTTGCGCAACCGAAGAATTTCTGCACAAACTGTCAGAAACCGTCTCAAGGGAGCTCATCTGCGTGCTCGTTGTCCTCACCAGGGTGTTGACCTGACTGCAGTTCGGCGTCATAACCGACTTCAGTGGACAAATGCTCACCTATGGCCACTGGCACGAGGGAGAAGTGTGTTCTTCACGGATGTATCCCGGTTTCAACTGTGCCGGGCAGATGGCAGACAGCGTGTATGGCGTTGTGAGGGCGAGCGGTTTGCTGATGTCAACGTTGTGAACAGAGTGCCCCATGGTGGGGCAGGCATAAACTACGGACAACGAACACAATTGCATTTTATCGATGGTAATTAGAATGCACAGAGATACCGTGACGAGATCCTGAGGCCCATTGTCGTGCCATTCATCTGCCGCCATCACCTCATGTTTCAGCATGATAATGCAGGGCCCCATGTCGCAAGGATCTGTACACAATTTCTGGAAGCTGAAAATGTCCCAGTTCTTCCATGGCCTGCATACTCACCAGACATGTCACCCATTGAGCATGTTCGGGATGCTCTGGATCGACATGTATGACAGCGTTCCAGTTCCCGCCAATATCCAGCAACTTCGCACAGCCATTGAAGAGGAGTGGGACACCATTCCACAGGCCACAATCAACAGCCTGATCAACTCTATGTGAAGGAGATGTTGGGCTGCATGAGGCAAATTGTGGTCACACCAGATACTGACTGGCTTTCTGATCCATAGCAAGCTTTTTTTTTTTTTTAAGGTATCTGTGACCAACAGATGCATATCTGTATTCCCAGTCATGTGAAATCCATACATTAGGGCCTAATGAATTGATTTCAATTGACTGATTTCCTTATATGAACTGTAACTCAGTAAAATCTTTGAAATTGTTGCATGTTGCGTTTATATTTTTCTCCAGTGTACATATGTGCATTAAATGAGGCCTTTTCGTATCACTTTTATTTTCTCTGAGATGCTTGGAATCTTATTTTATGGTATTACTCTCCTCTCCTGTCCCTTTTTTTTTGTGCCGTTTGGAGCGGTTCAGCATCCTGGAGTCGCAGAAACTCAGGACTACGTCAGAGTTTGCAACGCCAGGGTTGTGGGTTCGATTCCCACGGGGGACCAGTGCAAAAAAAAAAAAATTACACAAAAAAATATATGTATTCACTAACTGTAAGTCGCTCTGGATAAGAGCGTCTGCTAAATGACTAAAATGTAAATGTAAATACCAGTCCAAGGTGGTCATCCGCCCTCACAAGTCCTTTGTTTTCGGCCCGCATAAGAGGAATTTGACCCAGGAGTCATTCGTCAGTCGTGTGCTGTTTACTTATGCAATGCCAAGCTGCTCCTTCCTGGATGTGTTTATTTATTTATTTATTCCATTCAACCTTCTTTTTATAAGATAGGTGCCACGCACCCCCAGTGGCCAAATCTGTGTTAGCCTGATACCTAAATCTTTTCAGGATACATAAATGTACTTCTCTG